TATTGCGTTGAGTGTTATGGGTTCGATCCCTGCATGGGACAACACTTTGTGTGACCCACAAATGTTGTTCTGAGTCTGGCTGTTCTTTGTGTCCGTTTCATGTATGTTTGTAAAGTCACCCGCGAGACAAGAATATATTCCTAATTCCGGCATTGTCAATAAAAAAAAACTGACCCAGAACATCAATTTCATCATCATCAACAACAGCCTTTAATAGTCCACTGCTGGACATAAGCCTCTCCTTAGAAAGAAGGTTTTGGCCTACTATACCGCGCTGGCCAGACGGGTTGGTATAGGGATTGTTTCAAGTTTTTCTTCTCTTTGCAGTGCTGTTGTTCTACGTAGTTTGCTCCCTTAGTCGTCTTACGAGACCCACGGGGTGACCAGGGGTGGTGACAACTGGTTAATTTATTTACTATAATTATCACAATATATAGATACGTGCGATTGTGTATATGTTGTCCTAGTTTTTACTCGACTACGCCAGAACTATGAATATTATTATGTTTTTCGGTTGATGGGTTTTGGGTTGGGAGGTGTCGTTAGATTGGTCCTAATTGTGAGACTGGGTATAAATGGGAGTTGGAAATTTATATAAAACTTCATTATTTTTGATAAAACTCATAGTAAATACTCTTTATTAAAAAGAATATAAACGTTGTTACAAATTTTACAAAACTAACCTTAAAAAAGGGATGCAAGTTTGTATGGAAAACATTTTTTTTAACTTATCGACTTCAAACACTCAGTACCTACAGTTATATTCCTTATCAAAAAAAAATAGTCATCTATTTCTTCACTTCTTAAAACATACGTATGTTTGTTCCCCAATCACGCAAAACGGCTTTCCTGATCTGGACGAGATTTGGTACATAGATAGATTATAGTCTAGAAATTAACAAAGGCACTCTTTATCCCGCCAAAACATATTGTCAAAATTGACATTTACGCGATCGAAGCCATGGACAAAAACTAGTATAATCTAATCTAATGAAAATCAATCCGTGCTCGCTTCATGACACCCCACAAGAAAAGACACCCCTCTCAATTAAAACCACTAAAACATTATCAACTTACGACAGAAACTCTCAAATATGAGCCCAATTTACAAACTGTCGAGCTTGATCGCGCATATCGCACGTTCAGCAGCAGCGAGAGGACCAGCGCGTGCCGAATCGCACCCGCGCCACACTTCACGATTCCTGAACGATTTGAGTGGGTAATTGACGCACGTGTTGGCACAGCCCTATTGTTTCCTAGATAACGTAAAATAGTTAAGTTATGACACTTGAATAAAACAGTTTTTTATATTAGTCTGTGGTGTTTTATGAATGGTTAAGTAATGACGCTTGCATACAAAAGTTTTTATGTTAGTCTATGGTATTTTATGATTTATCAGTACGCATAAAGCACCAAACACATTTAATACCTTGTTGATTAAATAACTCATAAATAATTTTACTGTTATAAATGTACACTTGGTATGCAAATGTCTGCTAAATATGTACCTCCGTAATTTTAAATATTAAAATCTCTAGAACGTCATCAAAATATTTGTGTATAAAATCAAGTCTTGTAAGCATTATATAGTTTTGCAATTTTTAGTAAAATTTTGACAAAACATATGTATGTTAGAAAGTAGAAAAACTGTTTGCCATAAGTCATCATCATCATCATGAACAGCCTTCACTAGTCCACTGCTGGACATAGGCCTCTCCTTAAAAAGGAGGTTTTGGCCTACTATACCACGCTGGCCTGACGGGTTGGTATAGGGTTTGTTTCAAATTTTCCTTCTCTCTGCAGTTCTGTTGTCCTGCGTAGTTTGCTTCCTTGCTATAAGTATGTAGGTTTTACACATCAATTGATTATGAAAAACAATTATTATGGTTTTAATAAAGAAGTCTATGTGGCTTAATGCATTTTATAATATGGCAATAGTAATTAGGTTATAGTGTAATGTAAATACAATGAAAATGAATAATATAATATTAGATCAGTGTGTACTGTAGGAGTAGTATTCTCAGATCATAGACACTTTGTCGGTGTTATTAGTATATGTGTCCATGCAATAACAGAGTTTTCTAGTAATACCAGGCTCTTAGGCAACCGGGGATGGGTAAACAGGCAGAGAAACATAATGAAACCTTGTGTTATGTTCCTGATTGCCGAGGGTCTTGACAATTAGACATTTTCTTTCTAAAACTATAAAAGAAATCTGTAAATAACCATAATTGGGTACCTGTTTTTTTATTATCATTTGCACTTCTATTAAGCGCACTATGCCTGCAGACCGTGATTCTAAGTCCATATCTGTTGTTGTGTTATTACATTAGTAAAATAGTTTTAATCTTACCGAAATTTTTAAATAAATATGGTCAACGTCGTCGACACTCATTTTGTATTGAAGTATAGTTTAGAAGCCTTATGATTTAAAGAAATCCAAATCTTATTAAAACCCTTTCTTAAACTTAGTTTTTACAGTAATAATTGCAGAATAAATATATCCTATGTAATACGGCATTTAACCTTATTTTATTAAATATTATAATATTTGAAATGTGTACAGGTAGCGCCATCTAGTAGGGAATAGCAGTATTTAAGCACCACTAAATTTTTTATCAGTTTTTACTTCAATAAAGATATAAATCGTACTTCCTTATTTTCACATACTAATAATGTTTCATTTCATTCCTTTTATGTTTTAAAAAAAAAAACACAAAATGCTTTACATTACTTGATTTTAAATTTACTCTTTATATGATGTAAAGAAACGCCATAAAAAACCTACCAATTATTATTTGACTCACTTCTCGCAATATTTTCTTAGCGATGTCACCCGCGAGTCTGCAAACAAGCAACACGATCACCCATAATCTAAGAAAAAAGTAAAATGTGTACTACAAAATAAACCTGATCTGCCTTCACTTTCAAACGTAACGACAAAAAGGGTCTTTCTATATTGGAAGTGACTGCGGTCAAGTTACGCATTACGACCAACAGAGGGCCAGCAAATATTTGATGTCGGGTAATTGTCATACGAGACGAAAATATCTTTTTACTGCGTCCCTCGTGTGTTAAAGTTTACTAGCCTTGGAAGAAGGCAGGAATGGTTTTATTTTGCATACATTTTGATAAACGAGTGTGGGTAGCGTCCTTTATGCGAGTTTCTACTGATTAGGTACCTATTTTTGCGATGAATATTGTAATTTTTTCATATAGGAGCTCCACGGGCGAACACTAGCAATTTTAATAAAAAAAAAATATTGTATAGGTTCCGCAGGGAGGATGGGTTTTGGCTCCGGTAACCTAACTTACTCAGTGAAAAGTAGACTTGGAAATTATTGCTACTTTTAAAACATATTTATATGATAAAATGTTTGGTTTTAGTCACAGCAATTTCACATGTGATTGTCATTTGGTCATAGACAAAAAACAAGTGAACAAGTCGTGCTGTAACAACATTAGTCAACTCTCGAATTTTCCTTACTGCATATGCTGCTGAGCTGAGTCTACTCGACAATTTATCAATATGTGGGCCCCACTGTAACTTAGAATCTAATGTTATACCTAATAATGGCGTAGTGTCCACAAGGTCCAGCCCGACATCCTTAATTATCACAGTAGTTTTCACTGGCTTGACGTTTGGCATAGTGCAACGTATACACTTAGTTTTTTATTCATTTAATAGTAAATTGTTGACGTCAAACCAATGAACCACTTTCGAAATGGCGCTGTTTACGAATGTGAAATCAAAACGGACACTGTTTTAGTCTAAATAATAGTGATCTGCAAACAACACAATCTCGAGATTGTCCTTGACAAGGTGAGGTAAGTCGTTAACATATACTAAAAACAAAAAAGGAACAGGAAACAAAAAAGGAAAAGGAAACAAAAAAGAATAGAACCCTGTGGAACGCCCATTTCTACCACAGAGCCTGGAGACCACTCACCATTAACATCAAATGGTTACTGTGGGTTGTCCTTAAGGGATAGACATATACCATGGCGGACATTTTTTGTAGATCTTTTTAAGATATACATTTACGTAGTACATTGTTTTGGTCTATCTAGTAAGTTCCAGCCAGCGTTTGCAATGTAAGCGCACAAAAACATGTTTTTACGACAAATCTTTGAAATTCTCGGTTTTTCTCTGCTATAATATGCACGTATTATACATATATACCTTTCTCTTAAATCACTCTCTCTATTGGTAAAAACTGCATTAAAATCCGTTGCTTAGTTTAAAAGATCTAAGCGTACAACAGAAAAAAGCGACTTTATTTTATACTATGTAAAGATTTTAAAAGAAATTCACGTATTTAGGATTTTTATTGCAGAAATTTTTTTTAAATATCATTAATTAAATTTTTTATTCATTTATATTTTATGGCAACAAAAATAAATTAATGTTCTAGCCCAAAAATTCGGAGTATCGAGGGTAGAGTAGAACCGTCTCATAAAGTTGAAAAAAAATCTGACTATAGTAAATAATAGTTCTAAAACCGATCAGAATGGCGCTAGTGTAGCAACATAGCAGTCATAGACGGTGTGACGTTTGTTGCATAAAATTATTAATATACTTTTATTCTTTGAAAGTTTATTTATTGTCTATAAAACTCATTCATACATTTATTCAACTAATATATTTTCACAGTATAGTACACAGTGTCTAATTAATATTTAAGCCAATATTCAATTTACACAATGTTTTTCTTTTAATGTTTTATTTCTCTATCCTACTCTGACAACTTATGGCGCTTTCTTAAAAAAAAATCCTGATGCTATTGTAGCGCTCCCAATTTAGCGCATTTTGACGGACTCTTTTCATACGCAGAGATGGTTCTCCTTACCACTAGACTCCATAAATCAAAGCCAGAAGCCATCCTTTTTAAAAAACGAACGTCACTGGCTGGATGTCAACTAAAAAAATACGCCTTCTGTTACTATAAACGTCTTTTAATTTAAATATAAATAAACTTTATAACAATAATTTGAAGAAAATGGAGGTTCATAAGCTGTGGGAGTACAAAGAGTACATCAACGTGAACGGTATGATGTTAACAAATGAACTGATATCATTCTTACAAAATTCTCTGACACTGTTGCAAGTGGAGAACCATTTCAAGCACATCCAATATTGGGGACAGTTGTACGCCGTGGACGCCGATTACCATATCGCTTGTGGCATTAATGATGACGCTATACTAGACAGAAAATATTACTACTCGACAGATTTCAAGTTCTGGGGATTGTTGCCAAAGGCAAAAAAGAAGTATAAGCACCTATCTCTTCTTGCTACATTTCCTTTTAGAGGTGAACCATCTCTAAAACTCAAAGTCCTTGATGAACAATTAGAAGAAAATAATCCTGAAAGATGCCTAATCATGTCCGAAGAGAATCGTTTGGCTGCAACTATTAGCAATATATGTGAGGAAGCGGAAATATGTGCGCGTGGGCAACTGATAAAGCAACCATCTGGTACGGTAGTTACTAACCCCAATTTTTATGGCCTAACCGCTGCAGAAGGGAAGCATTTGAAGTCGTACTTGCATATCAGACTTGCCCAACATCGCTGGAACACCAATCTCCTCACAAGACAAGATTATAACTACAGCATGGACTTTCTAGATTCTGTTGATCAGGACATCCCCAATGGCTGTTGGAATCTCTCACTGGAAAGAGGGGGTACAGTGGCGTATTTGAGAAGTCTTTATTGGCCAGGAATGACGTATTTCCATAAAATACGAACACAAGACGCTGGTTTTCTATACGTTGGCAATGGTCGCAAGAATTTGGATGTACCGTTTTTACTTTAGTTACTGTATTAAATATAATTTTGTATTTTTTTACTTAGTTGAGTTTTACTTGGTTTTATTAATTTCGTAGGTTGATGAACTAGCGATTAACAGTTTTCTGAAATTAAAGTAACGCCTTATAAATCGTTCAAGGGATCCATTGTAAATTCTTATTCAAATTCGATTTAATTTCATACAGTTGCTTACTACCAATTGTTTGAAATCGTCTTGTCATTTTGACACGGTTTTATTAGCTTTGTATCTATGTATGTAACGGAATCTTCAAACGTGATTATGACCCACTTCAAAATGTCGAATGAAATTGAAACTTCGCACACTTATCAAGGACCGATGACAATACAATTATTTGATAAATTTGGCCCAGTATCGAATTTAGAGAATTTCCATGTGGAGCACACAGCACACTGCCTTGCGGAGCATCCGCATTTACAGATTTGAAGTCGAAGCATGCACCTTAAACTAAACACCAAATATGAAAATGCATTAAAACAAGAAATCATGTAATGTCATTGTAATGTCTTTAAAATTAAAACTTCACTACTTACAACCCTGAAATACTTAAATACCATATTACTTTTTAAACAACGCAGATCAGCAACAGTTTGGTTATTTGTATTATTAACGGTCAAAGTGGAGAAACCATGCAATTCCAGCACAATCTGTACGCTATTAAACAGCCACTACCACCTGTTTATTTTAGCCGTATTATAATAGCAAGTAACACCATGTTTAGTCGTCAACGTTTCTTTACACGCAGCACTTATATAAAAATAGTTCTAATTAGTAACCATGTAGCAACAAGCACTAGAGTGTGATTACATAATTAAGTCAAATTGTAGCAAAATTGGCCCGCCTGGCCAGCGTGGTATAGTAGGCCAAATTCTTCTTTCTAAGGAGAGGCCTATGTCCAACAGTGGACTATTAAAGGCTGTTGATGTGACGTGATGTGTGTGTAGCAAAATTTTGATAGACTATCAATATCCTTTTTACTATGAAATAAATGGATTTAACACAAATAAAGTTGAATGAAATACATCAAAAGAATTTTGAAATTACTTCTTTTTGTCTTAAACTTCAAATTCTTGTAATCATCATCATCATCGTCAACAGCCTATACGAGTATTAGTCCAGTGCTGGACATAGCATTACACTAATTTACTAATATCCCGTCTACTTGTAAAGCAAAAAGAAATAAAAACATAAAGCTCTTGAAAATCCATCTTTCCATCCCATATTAGTCTCAATGCACTTCTCAATGTCCATGTTCATATGCCTTAAAAGAAACCAAAAATTTAGGAAAATCAACATCTACCGACTAAAATACCTGGATTCACTCATACATTTATTCTGCAAGGTTGTTGCATTTTTTATTTATTACTATTTTAGTTTATACACTAAACTGAATTATAGGAAAAATCACATTCCTGTGCTAAGTCCAGAACGGGCATTGTAAAAGTTTGATTTAATGCAGTAACAGATATAAATGTTAATGTTCTTTGAAACCTTTACATGAAAATCACTTATAACAATTCTTCTTTTAGCCATTCAATATGATTTTGTATACGAGTTGATATGGTATGAAAAGAAATTATATAATTTTAATGAAAATTTGGAGTTAAAGTTACCCTACTTTTGTCTGAAACTAATGCTATTAACTTTGAAATGCCATCTGCATTGATTACCGTTCCGTTTTCTATTTCGTTGCACCTGTCCTGTCGTACGTGTTAAAAGTATACTTTAGAGTTTTGCAATTCGCGCCTATTCTAACCGGCTTTTCTCTTTAATTAGAATTATATTCTTTCATGTTAAAACGCTTGTAATTGATTCCTTTTTTTTATTTTGTTACTGTCAATGGCTACGGAAGGCATGAATATCACAGAAGAGGCAGAAATGGCGGAATGCGACGGGGACAAAGTCGTTACGATGATGGATGTCTTACAAGAACAACAAGATTTTGAAGAGGATGCTAACGCTGTCCTGGGAGCTTCCGACGATAAGAATTGTACTTATTTAAAGGTAAGATTGTACCCTTTGGTTTAAAGTTATTAAATTGGACCAACATGGCGTTCACACATTGACACTGGCACATTATCTTGCGCTATTCCACTCATTTTCTGCAGTATTGTCTACCTTGCCTTAATTTTAAATGAAAAAATTACGCAGGATATCATATCATAGTCTAGTTCACAGTCAAAACGTTTAAGAAAGTTAAATGGTAGTGTTTTATATAAATACAATCTAGATCTATTTACTCCAATTTTTTACATAATTTCAATGCGAATACAATGTGCTATTTGTGTTTTATAATATGTCAGCAAACTGGCTCGGCTTTTAAAGATAACAAGATATATGCCTACATCTTTTCCTGTCATAATTAACAAATTTTAGAGTAAAAAATTAATAATACATTCATTATAGCAGATGTATTTACAAAGAAGTATATAAGTCTCTCAGTCAATCTAGTTTTTATAGTACAAGCGCTGCTTAGTTTGAAACTAGGTAGTTTTTTTGTAAAAATATTACTTAATTAATAATAAATATTATTATTATATAACTTTATTAGTTCATACAGCAGTAAAGCTCTCGATCGGCATGATTTGCTCGAAAATCTGCAACAATTATTACATATCAGGAAATTTGCCTAAAATCTTATTAAATTATTCACTTAACCTTATTAATCCCTCAATCCATTAGTAAAAACTGTATAAAAATCTAATTTACTTAGAAGTAAGTTATGTTCAGACAAACAAACAGAATGATAGACCAGTAGTGGACTTTTTACTTGATAATAGACTAACTAATAATGTATTGATTTCATTTTAATTTTTATCATAGTTCTTAATAATTTAATTTATAAATTGTTTTTATTATAAGCATTTTATGTAAGTACTGTACTTTTTAAGGCTAAAAACAACACCTGCTGTGGCCTGCGGCTTCACTTGCAAGGTTATTTTTTACTCTGAGAGTGATTATTTTATCCCTTAAAAGTAAAATTTCCAAAAAACCTTCCTTAGTAGGTCTCAGCGGTCTAGGCTTTGAATTGCTATGTTTCATAAATGTTTTTGTTTTGTTTATAGGGCTATATCAAGAGGCAGGCCATCTATGCTTGCCTGACTTGCTGTCCAGACGTGAAAACAGACCCCACCAAGCGAGCCGGAGTGTGCCTGGCATGCAGTTTAACTTGTCACGAAAACCATGAACTTGTTGAACTTTACACCAAAAGAAACTTCCGTTGTGATTGTGGTAACCCTAAGTTTAATTCCAACCCCTGTCAATTCACTTCTAACAAAACCGACTTGAATAATGAAAATATTTACAATCAGAATTTTAGTGGACTTTACTGTACATGTCAAAGGCCTTACCCTGATCCGGAAGCCACTTTTGAAGATGACATGATCCAGTGCATTGTTTGTGAAGACTGGCTACATGCATCTCATTTGGATGCTGTAGTTCCTGCCAATGATCAGTATTCAGAAATGATCTGCAAAGCATGTATGAGTAAAAATGACTTCTTGCATGATTATAGTAACTTAGCTGTTAATGTTGAAATTGTTGATATTTTGACAGTTAATGGTGATGTAGCAAAAGCATTCACAAATAATGAAGATAAAGCACTTATTTTAAATGGAGATGTAGATATGACAGATGAAAAAGATAACAATTCTGCAAAAAATGAATCTGTTGATAAATATGATGAGTGTACAGCTCCTCAAGAAAAAACCAAAACAAGTGAAGAGGAAGAAACCATACCAACAGACGCTACATTAAAAGACAAAACAGATGACAACATGCATACTGATAGTAATAACCAGGAACCTGACTCTACAGAAACTAAAGAAACTGCACAAGACGACTTAATACCCGAAAAAGGAATTCAGGAAGAAAATGAAAAAGCTTCTGATGCTTCTACAGATAATAAAATGGAAAGTACAAACGAAAGCAGTGAAACAGTCAATGAGCAAAGAGAAACAGATGAACAAATGTCCAATGACGTAATAGCCGATAGTGAAAATAGTGATAAAAATAAAACAGAACATCAGCTTCTAGATGATATTAAGACATCAACATCTGATAGTCTTTTAGAAGAATCCTCGACTGCAGTGGAGTGTGACAAAGTAGAAAAAATTTCAGAGTGCTTGGAGAAAGCAGAAGACAGTATTAGTGCAGATAATAGCAATGACAAAAGTGAGGGATCTCCCTCAGAACAAACAAATGTCGGTTCTGAGGCAGAAAGTGGACCTGAATCTGGAAATATTAAAGTTTCTGATGCTTCACAAGAGTCATTGGCAAAAGAAAATGTGGACGATAAAACTGACGCAGTTATGGACGCTATTGATGCTTTGTTAGAAGGTAACGCTCCAGCAAAAGACTCTGAATCTAAAGAAGCTAATGATGAATTGCAAGCAAATGAACTAACTCAAGGAGCGAATGACTTAGAAGTGTGTGAAAAGCCAACAAAGCAAAATAACACCGCCACAAAAGATTCTGAATCTAAAGAGACTAATGATGAATTACAAGCAAATAAAGTAACCCAAGAAGCGAATGACGTAGAAATAAATAAACATGAGAGCATAGAGAGCTCAACCACTGATAGCAAAGAGAAAGCTGATGCAGATGTGGAAATGAAAGATGGTTCAAGTCAAAATGAACATTCGAACAATGAAAATAAAGAGACTCTAGTTGACTCTGAAAATAATAAATCTGTAAGTGTTGACACTACTGAAATAACGAATGCAGAAAATAAAACTACAAGTAAATCTCTCATAGATACAGCTGAAAAATCTGTTGTAACAGATACAGATAAATTAGTTAATAGTGATGTTAATGAAGCTTTAAATGAAACAGATATTACAAATAAAGTGGAAAGCGATGGAAGCAAGAATGATGAAGACAATGTTTCTAACACGACTGGAAGTACAAATGAGAATAAAAGAAAACTTAGTAATACAGAAGAATCATCTCCAAAGAAAGCCAAGTTGAACACATCCAAGTGCGAGAGGCCTAAGGGCGTCAAGAAAGTTTACAAAGGCGCAACATTTTGGCCATCAAACTTTCGGCAAAAGCTTTGCACGTGTGGCGAATGCATATCAATGTATAAAAACTTGAATGTGCTGTTTTTAACTGACTTGGAAGATACAGTGTCGTACTATGAGAGTTTAGGGAAAGAGAATATAGATGGAATCGTATCACAATATGAGAAAGGGCTTCAAGCGCTTTCTTCTTTAGACAGAATACAGCAAATAAACGCCTTAACCGAGTACAATAAAATGAGAGATAAGTTGTTAGATTTCCTAAAGAGTTTTAAAGATAGAAAAGAAGTAGTTAAAGAAGAGGATATTAAAGCTTTCTTCGCCGGTATGAAGCCGAGACGGGAGCCTGACGGAGTATATTTTTGCAGATAATTTCTAAGCAATGATAAGGACATTTTTTTTTAATTTTACGTTGGACCGCATTCCAAGCTTAGTAAGCAAATAGATTGATGGTTATTGAATTATCAATAAAATTACATTTTTAAATATCATTGTTTTATTGGTGTGATAATGTTATGTTAAGGTATTGTGAATGTTTATATTAAGATATGTACTACTGGTTTCTAATCAACCAAAGATAATCTAGCAGAAGCTTATTCCAACTGTCAAATGTTGTTCTTATAACTTCAGACCTTCATTATGTATAATAGTAACAGGGAGACACTTTCTAAATATACAAATCTATAAATACTTGTTTTCCTTTCGCACCACACTCCGGGTCCCAGTAGCCGTGGAACCAGGTGAACCCTAAGAAGTAAATCCGTGGTACGCCAACGGACCCTGGGCTTGTAGATGACCCCTTGTGTGTGGGTAACACGGTGTTCCCGTTCTGCAATCTGAAGTGCGTCACGCTCAACAGCACCACCAACCCGGCCTGCTTCTGCTAGAGTGACAATACTCAATAACTTTATTGCTTCCATAATGTGAATACATAGGTGACAACAATCAAGCGGCAACAATTATGGACCCTGTCGGGCGCAGCACAGTTTGTTTGGGAGAGAGGAAGATAACAACCACATGTACAGTAGAATATTTTGTTTCTAATTAATATACTCGTAGTAGGATAAAATCATGGTAACTATACATGTCATGTATTATTATATTTTTAATTAAAATCAATATTGTTAGTTTTATTTGTTCATAATTTTAAAATTGATTTAATAATGTATAAGAGAATAAAATATTGTCCGTTATTTATTATTTTAATTATTTATTAGTTATTTTAATTATTTGATTGATTAATTATTATTATTTTAGTAGTCATAAATATATTATGAGAAAATGGAAGAAAAGAGGACACTATTATTACATCCTTTTTTTTTTGTCTAATTTGGTTATAACAATTATAGAATTTATTATTTTAGAGTATTTTATTTACTTTCCAAATACTCTTTTACGCTGTAGAAACACTTGCTTATTAGAAATAACTTTAATTTATTAACAAAAGTATCAAATTTAGTCTCGTTTTTAATATCAATTGGTAATTTATTATAAATTTTTATAGACATGACCAAAGGACCACGAGAATGCATTATTAGTCTAAAAGGGGGTAGATTTAATCTGTTTTTGTGTCTAAAGGAAAAGTTTGTTTCTTTGTCTTCCCGTTTACTATACAGTGCCGGGTATTTTCGGACAAATTTATTTATTTCTAATATGTATATACTGGGTAATGTTAGGACGCCCAATATCTGGAAATGAGGTTTACAAGTATCTGTTTCTTGTATATTAACTAGAATTCTTATTAACTTTTTTTGTAAGGCGAATATGGTTGCTGCGTCTGCACTATTACTCCATAAGACAGCCAAGAAAAGGCGTAGGCGTAGTAGGTGACAAGTGCTGCAGCTAAATCTGTCGACTTTTTGATTTCTCGCAAGGTATAAGCGAATTTTGATAACTTTATTCTGACGTTTTTTACGTTGTTTCCAATTGATGTTTGAATCTATAGTGATACCTAGCAAGTTAAAATCCTTTACTTGTTCTATTTTTGTTACTCGAAATGTGAAGTTTACATCTATTGGTGTCTTTTGGTAGGGATGGACAGATGACCTCACCTGTCACCCCCAGGGCTGCGCTTACGGAGGACGGAGGTCGTCGAATCGGGAAAGTTCCAAATCTCTCGCGGTCCCGTTTCGCCGTCTCCCTACGCAAGCATAACTTCCTCACAGAAGGAGACGGCGGAGTCCTACACGCTGTCGCTCCGTACCGTATCGTAAAAAAAGTAGGTTTTTGGGCAATCGCCGTTTAAAGATTCTGGATTCTTACATTTCGTTTTATTATTGCTTAGTATTTAAGTGATAATTGAGATATTTTTTAGAGTTATTCTTTGCTAACTATACTATCAATAGCCATGAAAAAAAAAAATATACATAAATTTCAAGTGATGGATAAAACACTTTTTTTTTTTTTATTTATTTATTTAAGGTCGCTTTTTAACATCTCAGGTCATTAGCGACCACAATTGACAATAGGTATACATATATAATCACACTGTAGTTTACACTAGGTTATAGACATTGATCATTTTCAGAAAACTTAAAGTTTGCATACATCCTTTTTGATTTAAACAGTCTTGTAAATTATTTGGCATGTTACATAACTTTTTCTCGCTACAATAAGCTGTGCAATCCTCTAATAAATGCTTAACAGTTAAATCTAGTCCACACTTGCATTTATTTCTTTCGGTTTTAGTAATTAGATGAATATGTGTCATATTTGAGTGTCCGATACGTAGACGGGTGATGATCACTTGATCTTTTCTACAAGTAAAATTATTGGGGGATTTATTAAAAATAGACTTCCTTATACTATATAACTTTGATGTATTTTCTGTTTTCCAATACTCATCCCAAGTAGATTTAATTTTATGTTTGAGGTATTTTTGTAGTTCGTCTGGAGTTGATTTATTTGTATGCCAATTTTCGATTTCATTTATTGCTTGCCTCGCTTCATGATCTGCTTTTTCATTACCAACTATCCCTTGATGACTTGGAATCCAAATAATTTCAAATTTGTAGTTATTTTTAAGTAGGTTTATAATTTTTTGTTTAATTTCTATAACTAGAGTATTTGTGTTATTTGTACTTTGTAACGCTGTTAAGCATGATTTAGAGTCAGTATATATTATATATTTATCTGTATTAATATCACTACTTATTAGTTCCAAGGCTTTAAGGATTGCTATTGCTTCGCAACTAAAAATTGTATTAAAATCTCCAAGTCTATAACGGTAACAATTATTCCCATATACTATTGAACATCCTGATTTTCCGTCCTTAACTGACCCGTCCGTATAAAAAATCTTACAATCTGTGTACCTACTATTAATTTCTAAGAATAGGGTTTTGTACATGTATTGAGGAGTATCTTCCTTGTGGTTTTTTGATAATTCGAGGTTGATGGGCCAATCTAAGCTTTCCCATGGGCCAATCGAAAGCAATTTCTTCGTAAAAAAATTTGGAATCTTGAAATTAATTTCCTTTAAATATTTAGTTGCTCTTATTCTGAAGGGTCGCGGTAAATGGGATCGAAGTTCATATTCCGTGTCTGCAGCTGTTATTTTAGTGTAAATATAATAAGTTGGGTTTTCAGGTTGAGATGATATATTAATAGCATATCTTATAACCATTTCCTTCCTTCTAAATTCTAACGGCATTTCTCCAGCTTCAGCTAAAATACTATTAATCGGACTTGTTTTAAATGCACCAATACTCAATCTAAGGGCAGTATTTTGAATGCTTTCGAGAGAATTGAGTGTTCGTTTTTTTGCTGAGTCATAAACTACGCATCCATAATCTATTTTTTGTCTTATCAAAGCACGATATGTGTTTATAAGACATTTTCTGTGAGATCCCCATGATGTCGACGACAGAATTTTAATAACATTTAACCTTTTATAGCACTCAGATTTAAGTTCATTTATGTGTGGAATCCATGACATCTTTCTATCGAATGTTAATCCTAGAATTTTCATTTTGTTAACTTCTTTAATATTGTGTTCATTTAAAGTCAGCTGTGTATTTTTTGATTTAATTCTTTTACTAGACATGACCATGAATTCTGATTTAGTTTTTGAAAATTTAAAGCCTGATTTCTTTGACCATTCCTCAAGGACTCCCAGTGTATTCTGTATAAGTTTTAATGTTGGTTGCAACGATCTACCGCTACAAGTTAGTGTTAGGTCATCAGCGAAAAGAAACGCTTTGACCGGTTTATCAATAAGTGGAAGAATGTCGTTAATAGCTAGCAAAAATAGAATAACACTAAGTACCGAGCCTTGAGGTAGACCATTTTCTGTACGAACTGGGTTAGATGTTGTATCATTGATTCTTACTTTTATTGTCCTATCTGAAAGGAAGTTTCTAATGAACGCCAGAGCATTTCCTTTAATATTGATGTCTTGTAATAATTTTAGTAACCTGTGTTTCCAAACCATTTCATAAGCTTTCTCAATATCTAATGCTACAATCACTGTATAAATATCATTAGCAAATCCATCCAGTATGTCACTTTCTATATTCACTAAATGGTCTATTGTGGATCGAAATTGGCGAAATCCATACTGAAATGGTGACAAGTATTTATTTATTTCTACGTACCATCTAATTCTTTTACTGATAATTTTCTCTAATATTTTACATAGATTACATGTTAAAGATATCGGTCTATAGCTAGTTCGTGAACTTGAAATCTTTTGTGGTTTTAATATTGGAACTACTAAAGCTTCTTTCCAATTGTCCGGAAATACATGATCCTTATATATATGGTTATATAGTTGAAGTAAATATTTAAGTCCTGTCATTGGCAAATGTTTAATTAAAATATTCGGTATATTATCTGGTCCTGGGCTAGAATTACCAATTTGTGAAAGTATTGAAATTAATTCGTGCATTGATATTTCTTTATTGATTGGGTTGGAATTGTCGGATGTCTCGAGATTTGAATCGGTCTCTTGTCTAATTTTATATTCAATAAATAATTCATTATAGTTATTAGAACTAGAATTAGTTGCAAAAGATTCAGCTAAAAGGTTTGAGGTTTCAATAGGGTTAGATGTAAACATACCGTCATTTTGTTCTAGTACAATTTGGTTGAATCTAGTGTTGCGGTGATTTAGTTTCTGAATCTTGTTCCACATATCCTTAACAGGGGTTTTGTTAGTAATAGATGACACCCAATTTTCCCAATATCTTTTTTTATTTTCTTTAATAAGTCTCCTATAGTAAGCTCTCTTCTTCTTATAATTGATTTTATAAGTCGAATTGGGGTCATCTCTAGCATATCGTTTAAAGAGTTTTAGCGCCTTTTTTGTTTCTCGAATTGCAATTTTACAGTCCTCGTTCCACCATGGTAAATTATGTTTTCTTAAGATACCAGATGTTTTAGGTATTGAATTATCAGCAGCCTTAAGAATGACTTCAGTGAATTTATCAACCACCACATTAATAGAAGAATCTATAAATTGATTTACTGGTACTAATTCTGTTATATTTAGATCAAAGTATTCCCGAAACATGTTCCAATCTGCTTTATCAAACTTCCATTTCTTAGGCACTCTAATATCGTTTGATACATTAGAATTAAAATTAGATGTGATGAAAATGGGGAAATGGTCACTATCATACAAATCGTCCAGGGCGTTCCATTCAAAATATGACGTTATATTTTGTGAAGCCAAGGTAAGATCTATATTACTTGTCAGACCCGTATGGCTATTAAAACGAGTAGGTTGTCCGTTATTTAATAGAAATAAATTATCAAGTTCGTCAAGCCATTCTGCTATTAACTTACCCCTAGAATCACATTTATCTGAACCCCAATAAAAGTGATGGCTATTGAAATCGCCTAAAATTATCACAGGAGATGGAAGCTGACTAATGAGATTATTTAATTGCTGTTTATCAAGAGTACTACTATTTGGTAGGTAAACGTTACATAATGTAATAGATAGTGGGAATTTTATGTTTATTGCAACTGCTTCTAAATTTGTGTTTAAAACTATTTCTTCTGGAATCGTATGAGACTTAATATAAATAGCCACTCCACCACTAGCCCTATCACCTTGCAACCGATTTTTGTAAAATTGTTTGTATCCTGTTAAAGAAGCGCATTTATTAAAAGTAAAGTTTGTTTCCTGTAGACAAATGCAAGTGGGACATAATTTACTTATTAATAATTTGATATTTTCAATTCGTTTATAGTAACCATTAACATTCCATTGTAATATATCCATATTAACTAATAATAATGTATCTTTAAAATAATATGTAGTAGTAAAAAATTAAGTTAACTTTTAAATTATTGATCTATGTCCGTTGTAACAATAGGTGTGGGAGATATTAATATTTCATGTAATTTCCTTGACAGACGTGAACATCTATTTTTTTGGCTTTTGTTCATCTTACAGTGTAATTTGTTACACATTTTAATAAGGTCCTTAATGTTATCTGTATAAGAATATACTAATTCTTTTATATTTTGTTTTCCTCGTGTATTATCTAATAAGCTAATGAATTGGTCTAAATTAATAGGGAATGTATTTTCGTTGTTTAACGTGGATAATTCTTTTTCAATATTTGTCCAAATTTCTTCTTCAGTTCTAGGGTCAGACTTTTTTAGTTTCTTTTTTGTTTTTGTTTTGGTTTCCAGATCTTCCAATGATATATTACTGCCTGTTTCATCAGATTCAAATTCCATTCTGTCAGACTCCTCTTCTTGTGTGTGTTGTTTTATAATATTTATTTTTGAGGATTCAGTAGTCGTTAGTGAATGTGTTCTTTTTACTCCTTTTGGGTTCATCTGAGATGGTTGTGAGAAGCCTTGATTTACTGGGGTACATTTAGGGTCATCCTGAGGGTGGGTAACAATTAAATCATCGCATCTATCGAATATATCAATAATTTCTTTTGCTGTTTGTTTTTCCATTTCACGGGGGTAGTCTTGAATATTTTTTATATTTTGTGGGCAATTTTTAGCTAAATGCCCCAGTGTATTACAAGTAAAACATTTTAGAGCATCAGTAGATGTATAGATCCAGTAATTAGTGCCTTCGAATGTAATTTGAAATGTTTCTGGCAGACGTGCCACATCGTCTGGGCTAATATATAATAGGGAATATGCATGTATTTTTTTTATTTTTTTAAACGATTCTACTAGTTATTACATTACCAAAAATAAATATAACACATCCGAAATATAAACCGTTAAGCAAAAAAAATTTTATTAAAATCACCATCATTTTGGGGCAATTTGAACACGTCCATTTTGGCGCGCTTTTTTTGTGACGTCAGATTACACTTTCAGACGAATTCGATGTCAACAACGGAGTAAAGTTCACAAAGTTTGTGAAAGTTAAAAAAGTGAGTGATAAAAATTAACTTATTACCATGGAACAGCCAATAAAAACTTATTATAAATATTGTGCCGTTTCTTTGTGCCCAAATAATATCAAAACTGCACCTGACAAAGTATATTCAGTCATTGTGTTGAGTCTTTCTACACGGGAATTTAATATTTAACACTGAAAACGTATTAGTTATTAACTTAAAATGAAACAAATAATCACCAGAAACCAAATATTACAAATACACACACCTTGTTGACACTCTTGACAGTGTAGGTTGACGTCACGTTTTATTCAACCAATAGCGTTGCGTTTTAGAAATTTGCGAGGGAATTTTAAAAAAGCCAATTTTTGATGATTAAATTTCACTATTAAATTATAATAAATTTCAAAAATAATTGTATGGGTATCTTTTTTTAGCAATAAAAATTACAAATAAAAATATTTTGTCCATTTTGGTGTCACGTGCATATTCCCTATTGTCTTCTAAAACTTAAGATGTGGGAAAAGCCTGGGTCGCTAACACCTATTTTCATAAATGTTAGTGGCGACATTATTTTTATATTTAATTCTTCAAATCGTTTTTCAATTATATAATTTGGAATAACGGGACAAACATTTGATAAGACGATCCTTTTATTTCTTGTAACTAAAGATTTTATTTCAAGAATATTACTTTTGATAGTTAGCTTTTTCTTTTCTTCGACAAGGTTATCGGCGGTTTTTTTCGAGTCCATATAAATACATATTCGAGCATTCGATATTCGAGATATAAATCGTATAGACGTTGCAGGAATAATTAACGATAATGCAATGAGGTACTCCCTGAGTGTTATACCGTCAATGGAGTCCAGTACGATGGCTTGGTCTTTCTTGGGAAAACAAGTAGATGAAGTAACATTTGCATAACTTGACGTATTGGGTGTTTCTTGAGACATTGTGGTTGGTTGGTACACTGGGGGATTTTGAGACGTTGAGGGTCCAAACATTATTTTATAAGGGGGCTCCTGTTGCCAGGAGTTACCCTATTAACGAAAAAAAAAATCAAAACAAATATTAAGATTCACGTGTCGCGTAGTGAATATTGGATTCAATAGCGGGTCGGACGGAGTGAGTCACGCGCGTCCGCTGTGACCGCCAGCGCGGAACTGTGATAAAACACTTTCTAGTGAAGCCCATCTTCACTTTTTGGCAATATATCGACCTATTATGTGAATCAGACTCAAAAACTTACTAAATTACACCCAACTGCAAATTGGTCTATATAAATCAAAAAGTTTAGACTTGTTTTTTTGCCCGTAGGACGACCGATTTACGAATAAATCAAAGTTTTTACGGCTCGCTTTCGGCAAATCATCATTATTATCAACAACCTTTAATAGACCACTGCTGGACATAGGCCTCTCCTTAGAAAGGAGGTTTCGGCAAATATGGGTACCTACGTTACTGCTTGTGACCTTGTATCACTCAAAACGGGAGACGAGCGTGTAGAGGCACAAACATATTTACCGAGTCATTATTTTTCTTTTTCTGTCAGTGCTAACCATTTAAAATCACACCTCGAAAATGTTGACTTGACCCCTTATATTACTAATTAAGTGAATGTTATCCATTTCCGGAATTTCCCGGCAAATCTTTGGTGTAGACAGACTTTTATAGATAGGTTAAATAAAGTGACACCTGCGGTTATAAATAGCATTAAAGCAATATTGAATCAATCTTTTTCTGTTATTGTAAAACATTTCTGCCTCCCTTGTCCCACTTCCATCGAGCTATCTGTTTTCCTTAACCCTTACTTACATCCTATGTACTGAAATTCAATTACATTTTCAAGTGCGGTAAGTCAAGCAGGCAGCTGGTCATAAACGAACAAAACCCTTTAGTATTTTAGACATTGGACTGATCCTAAATAACTTCTTAAGATACTGAAGGCTCAATTTCACAGCAGAATACTACACCTTGATGACAAATTACAAATCTTGGTTCGCAAACACGATTTGGTAACATACTGTATTCTACCCTCAAACAGTCAATAAATAAAAGTCAAGTTATACGTAAGATATTTAAAGTGTATTATTGTAAGAGAGTTATGTTTAATGCGCATCACGCGTACAGAATGTCATAGTGGCCGGGACGGTACAACAGATGCACTATTGGCGTAGAACCTTCTGGGAAGTCGTGCGCCATCACCTGCAAACAATTTGGTTGTATATACAATCAAAATTATATCCTGTGGGTCTAATGTACGTTTATTTTATTTTACATCAACTCTATCGTCGACAGTGTCTGCGTTGCGATTGAAATAAACTTACACCAGACCCACTGAGCTCACTAAATCCTTTAGAAGGGCACTAGGGCTGCTCATAGGGGATAATACCCAATAGGATACACTAATAAACAATCATTGATATATCTCTTTTTGTTCCTGCAATGTATGCAAAATTTTATGGTGATTACATTGGTAAATAAGATGTAAATGTGTAAGAAACTTGCATTTAAAATATTAATAGGGCCCACGTCATTAACAGGTAATCTATATGGTGGACAATCACATCAACAGCCTCTAATAGTCGACTACTAGACATAGGCCTCTCCTTAGAAAGGAGGTTTTCTCCTACTATACCACACTGGCCTGGTTGGTATAGAGTTTTTGTTTCCTTCTGTTTGCAGTAATGTCGTCCTGCAGTTTGCTACCTTAATCAACTCTTATGACACCCACAGATAAATAGAGGTGGGGACATATGTATCCAAATTCTTATTATATAAAAATAATTACAGACCTGACTGCCCTCTCCACGGTCCATATATTTGACTCTGACGCCAACGTTGAGTGCATTGCTCAGGGCTATTATGTGAATGTGGTCAGACTCCTTGTACATAGGCTCAACTTCCTAGAAAAATAGAAATCAGGCATATAAGCTGGGTTAATATTCAACACGTTAACAAAAAAAAATATTAGAAATAAGTACCTGTCTGCAAAACTCAGTGACTGTACGAGGACCTTCAATGAAATTCTGGTAGAAGTCCTGCTCAGTCTGAAGTTGTCCTGATGTGACAAGACGGAGGTACACCACTATGTAATCAGAGTAGCCTTGCTTATTGAACTTATCGTGAAGCTCTGCTCTGATGGAGTCTAGTGATTCTGGCGAACCTCCTGATTGTTCGCCTACTCTCTGCACCACTTCCATAAACTAGAAGTGATAAGACATTAAATAACAGTATTTTATAATAAATAAGGTCCGTGTGGTGACAGATTAAGAACACCCCCATTCATCCCATGGGTGTCATATGAGGCAACTAAGGGAGCAAACTATGCAGGGCAACAGCACTGCAAAGAGAAGGAAAACTTAAAACAGACCCTACACCAAGGCATCTGGCCAGCGTAATATAGTAGGCGAAAACTTCTAAGGAGAGGCCTCTATGTCCAGCAGTGGACTATTAATGATGATGATAATTAATAACCTACAAATCCAAATGTTGTCTTTAGAAATAATGATTAAGCAAAAATTTGGCATAAACATATAATGTTGTATTATATATGTATGTGTAATAGTTTTATTAAATTATAATCTGTGGTATTCTTTAGTTATTGTTTTGTATTTTCAAGTTTATACAAAAACATCAATTTCTTATTTTCATTGCTTCTGTGAGCAAGCACTGTAGAGGTAGAGTGCTTTATTTAAAGTAATGTATGCTACTCACACATACTTGTAATTCATCATTATTTCTATAAACCACATAATTCAAATTCATGATTTTTCCAATTTCAAAAACTCATACAAAATTATGTTTGCAAAATACATCTATTTAAAAATGCACATTATTTTAGTAATACTGTTGAATTTATATTACAAAGAAATATATAGTATAAGGGTAATTTTAACAGACTATTACACTATGGTATAACACTCAAAGAAAACAATAACAAATACAAACCTAACCTCAAATTTAAATTACATCTCACCGTTTCATAGAAGTCTTCGACTGTGAACTGCGAGAACCCTAGTGCAACTAGAATCTCCTTCGAATTTTTAGCTATTTCATAAAATTTCTCATATTCACTTTTATTCGTCAATAGATGTTCTAAATACGCATAAGAAAACGCACGAAAGAAACAGTTGCCGTCAGGACGAGTACGCCTAATATTCTTGTATTTAGAGGACAAGTCTTTAACTTTTAAAAGGTATACAGGATCTTCGTTGTATTCTTTTTCTAATGACGACAATGCCTCGAGTTCGCCAACGAGCGGTATCGCATCAGATATCTGCAAAACAAACACAACCCAATGTCAAAATTTATTGCAGGGTCAAGTTTTTGAGACAGCAAAGTTGTTCTGCAGACGGCTTCCAAACTTTCTGTTAACTCACCTCTTTTTCAATCTCTCGCTGCTGCTTCATGATCAACTCATCTTGATTTATTGAGTTATCTATTAAATTGCCGGTGCAAGCGCTACTACTCGATGCATCGTCCGCCATTTTTCAATAAAATAAAAACTGAAATGACATATGACGACAAATGACAATCGGTGAAAAATATTGCGTTCAGAAATTTAAAGTTTGCTACAGTTTCGTCTCGTGTACTTGATAATTAATTATTTCTTGTAATAGATAATTTTCTATAATGGGGCACATAAACTCTTCAAGTTAATAAATTAAACAGTATTTTCACTCCCCTGCATAGCTAGTTCAAATGACTTGAGCTGTATCGGTCGATTACGATTCTTACAACTAAAATATCTAATTTACTTAAAAATAAGAAAGGTTAGTAAAACTTCTATATTTCATTTTATTTATAATAGTTTTACGCAATTTATTAATTTTCCTTTTTGATTTTGAGAGGTTTTATTTTTCAAGTTAAATTTTTATAGTACATAGGTATTATTATCACGAAATAATTTGGGAATAAAAAAAACAAGAACTTTAAAAATTATTATTTATTTGAATACTAATACTATGTTTTAAACTAATCGGCAAACATATCCTCAATCTTCTTTTGCACTTCTTTTTCTGTCTCTGAATTGAGTTTGTCAGGTAGATTTTTGACGGATTCTAAATCGTCTTGATCACCATCATCAGAAGGAGCCTCACCTCTTGCCTAAAAATAAAAAAAACAAAATTTACTTGAAATCAAGACTGGAGGTATCTGAGTAGCGGTACCTACAACTTTTATCAGATCCAAGCTACCAGCGAAATCTGTAAACGCTGAGACAGTAGTTCCTGAGACTATCGCATTCAAACATTTTCAACTTTATAATAAAATTAGTTAAAAAACTTCATGTCACACATTACCTTCTGCAGCTGTATTTCAAGCTGCATGATAGCTCTTTCAAGACGATAATTATCAGACACAAGTTGAGCCCACCGTCTTCTCAACGCTCTCAATCGAGCGCCACTCGCCGTTTGTGAACGTTTGCGCTCCCAATTGACAGAAGCAATCTGTTTCCTGTAAGGATCATACATGTATTAATTATAACAAAGTGTTTAAAATTCGTTAGAAATAATAAAAAAGAGAAGTTAAGCATGAGGCTCGGAATCGACTTGCTGTGGACGCGTCCTTCGCCATCCGGAGGACATAGGACATAAAAAAGAGAAATAGAGAAAAATTTAAACGCCTTGCTTCATAACTAAAATTCAATCTTAGGTTGAATATATTTTGTTGTAAAATAAAGTAATAATAAATATTTCGGACAACTGATACCCAATGCCATTTAGTTTCAAACTAGGCAGAGCTTGTAGCTGTTAGATTCACTGATAAGATACTTATATACCTTTTTTTTTAATACATACATATTTTACATAGAAAACGCCCAAACTCCGAAACAAATATTTGCAGTTCAGACAAACATTTGGTCAGACCCGGGAATCGAACCCAGCACAGCATATAATTTCACTGGCGGTATAATTATAAAAATAATATATTTATGAAGTTCATTCAAAGATATTCGCAATTTCCTTTAAAACTTTGGTTAGAAAAATTTAGTAAGACTAGTTTTAGCGACTTTGGCCGCGTGGTGGTCGACATCATCAGACATTGTAGAGGATACAATGAATCAAGATTATAGGTCTTTTAATAAAGAGTATTTACTGTGAGTTTGAAAACACTACTACCAAAACTAACGAAGTTTCATATAAATTTTCAACCGCATTTCGCACCCTTAAAGGTGGAATTTTTAAAAATCCTTTCTTAGTGCACACCTATGTCACCTAAGGAAAATTTGTGCAAAATTTCTTGCTCCTAGACCCAGCGGTTTCAGCTGTGCGTTGACCGATCAGTCAGTGAATCATTCTGTCAGTTTCTTCTTTTATAGATAGTACCTGGAGAGAGTAGAGCTTTGCTCTGTATTTTTTTTTGGTTTATTACATATATAATTACAGGGCTTTTGCTAAAGTCTGTGTGGTAGTGATAGCATCAAAGTTTGAGAAACTAACCTTAACTGACCGTGTACATTCTGACTCCTAGTCACCAGTGCCTGCAATGTATTGAGATAAGATCTCCATGCCTCTGAGCCATATTGCAGCTGTAATTCCAAGTTTAACACTCTGATAGCTTGGTGGGAGAGCTGAGCATGTGAGTTGTCTACAGCTTCTGTCCAAGCCGTGGGCTCGCCGAGACGACCAGCTGGTGGTGGAGGTAGTTCGTAACTGTAAAAATTTGCATGTTATAAAATGTACCAGAAATCTGAACATTTTGTCTTTGAAATTATTTCATCATCACAGTGTCTGCATATCTGTTCTGAAATAGCATTGGAACACAACACCAATCACAGAAAATTGGTGTTAACCAATTCTTTTACTACTTTTCATCCAGTGAGTAAAGTTACCAGAGTCCAAATCCCTCCTTCCCCTATTCTCGGAGGGAAAGACTTCCACTATCTAGGTTATAGAATCCATATATACGTACAAGCTTCGTTTTTTGTGCGTCGAAGAATATCTATATATTATCACTAGCTGACCCGGCAAACGTTGTATTGCAAACAAAAAAAAATTAGGGATGGGTCACCCTTACCATTTAGGGGTATGAAAAATAGATGTTGGCCGATTCTCAGACCTACCCGATGTGCACACAAAATTTCATGAGAATCAGTCAAGCCGTTTCGGAGGAGTACGGGAACGAACATTGTGACACGAGAATTTTATATATAAGATATGTAGATATTCATGAAGAATATTATTCCTGATAACTTGTGTTGACTTTGTTTATACTTTATGTTAAACAAAGTCGTTATAAACAAATTTGGAATACTTTATGTTTACATATATAGAAGTGCAGACAGTTAAATTTGTTGATCAATGAGTGATGATGATGATGTTGTTCAAAATAGCTTCATAAATAACCCATTATTTTTTCCTAATGTGTAAAAGATAAAAATGGTTACTGTGGGATATCCTTAGGAGATAGACATATACCATCGTAGACTTTTTGTAGATCTTTTAAAGATATACAATTTCTCTGTAAATTATTTTGATAAGCTTTAGCAAGCGTTTGTAATGTAAGCGCTCAAAAACATGTTTCTAACAACTTCACATTATAAATCTTTAAAATCTACATATTTCCTCTACTATAATATGCATGTATTACACATATTAACCTATATTTTGAATCACTCTCTCTATTGGTAAAATCGTATTAAAATCCGTTGCATAGTTCCGCTGTAAAGATTTAATTTAAAATTGTCATAATAAATTATCAATATCACATACCGTTTCATAGACAATGGTTCCATTGGCAGTCTTTGTTGCACTCTTTCCATCTCCCTTTGTAATGCTGGAGTTTCAAACGCTGTACTAGGTTCGGGGCCAGCATTTTCAAGGTAGTTCTTCGTCGGTCTATATCGCCTACATTCTTCTTCTACCATAGCCAGCGCCTCAAAAATAATAACACTAATACATATTAACAATGAATTATAAAAAATATCAAGTATTACAATTTATGATTACAATTTTGTTGTGTTGTGGGTTCAAACCCCACATGGGACGACACTTTGTGTGATCCACAAATTGTTGTTCTAAGTCTGGGTGTTCTTTGTGTCCGTTTCATGTATGTTTGTAAAGTCCCCAGCGACACAGGAATGTATTCCTAATGCCAGAGTTGTCTTTTTAGAAAGAAAGAAAGAGGTCGTAGGTTTGATTCCCACCCAGAACAAATAATTATATGATGATCATGATCATTTGTGCAGTGTCTAGGTGTAATCTTTATTAATATTATTATAAAGAGGTAAAGTTTGTATGTTCAGGGTAATCTCAGGAACTAATGGCTTGAATTGAAAAATTATTTTAGTGTGAGATAGCCCTTTTATCAAGGAAGGATATAGGCTATAAACATCATGCTACGAGCAATAGGAGCAGAGTATCAATAAAAATATCCGTAAACGGGGCAAATGTATTCTTTTTGCAAGAAGACGAAATTGGGCGGCTCAGCCAGTTCATCTACAATATGTATATATTTTGGTAATATCTAAGTACGTTTAGCAGCAGTCTGGTTATCAAAGCATAGACTCTGCTTAGTTTGGCCTCTAATCTCTGGCTGTTTCTCAAAATTATTAAATCCCTAAGTCCCAAAAAGCCTGATTGACAAGAATAGACATGCCCCCTTTTAGGGGAGTGTAATCAAATTATATTAATACTTCTCTGCTTGTCCTCTGGGATACAGGCGTGATTGTCTGTATGTTATTTATAATAGTTGATTAAATTTCTTAAATTTAGTGTAGGTTATGTGAATTACTTACGGCTTCTCTAACTCCCGGGTCATCATATCCCTGGTCAATATACGGTAAGGCATCCACTACCACTTCTCCAGCCATTTTGTTAGTTTTAAATTTATTTGGTTGACAGAATTATATACCAGATTACTATCTTAAGTTTTTTCAGTTTCATAAAAGTAGCCTGTGGGCTTAACTTATTTCATATTTTTTGTTGACAAATACAATGTTTGACTTTTAAGGGGTACATTTTTTTTGGATTTGGATACCAACCTTAAGATAAAAACAATGTTTTTTAAAAGATCTTTCAAAACTATACCAGATTGTATAGATATAAATCAAATGAACAATATTGTATCGTTTACTGATAAATATATAAATAAAAGAATAGAATAGAGAATTTTAATTTATCTTAATAATTATTTTCAATAATTTGTCGTAAAAAGGAACGCCGAAGAACAAAAAGTGTTTAAATTTATTAGGAAAATTGAATATTTAAGTAAATTATTACTATTTTATAATGAATTACTCTTTTGATGTACTCTAAATGTGTGAATTAGTCATAGTCCTATTAATAAACCAGTGTCACCAAATTATTTCAAAATACAATAAAGAGAAAAATATTAAATGTAATAATTATTCATTTGCTAAAAAAACTATTAAATAATCGTTTTAATATTGTAGATATTTTAGATTTATGAATTAGTTGTTGTTCATCAAAAACTGAATGTGAAACCGAAAGTTTGGTGCAAGTCCGGTTTCTACGGAACGGTATTTTCAAATTGTCATTTGGACATTTGTCATGTCATTCGATATTTGAGAGGTACCTGCTCAGCCTAATAACACTATTCCGTTTAGATTTAGGTAGTTAGGTACTTCTTTTACAGAATTTTAGGCCTATAAATTAGCCTTGTTACCTTTTAAATTAATTCTAATACACAACTAGGCTTAATTTTTCTCTAATAATTGACCTGGGAGATCAAAACGATATCGATAAAATATATTTTTTAATTAAACATTGTTTACATTATATACCTACATACATATAACAATGACTCTGGAAGAAACTATGCTGAATGAAGAACTTGGGAATGTTGATTTATCTAAAGTAGGTATTCTAGATTTGTGTTATATTACTTATAAGTACTTAAATAGGCCTTGTAACGAGCAACCTCTGCCCCTTTTCATTTCTCTGTAGCCTTCAATGAATGTAGTTTTACATTGCAGATAACAGCTCTCCAGCACAAACGAACGATAGCTTTCGTAAACCATTTTGTGTTGACCAATGTACAGTTTATGAACAATTTCATGAAGAAATGTGAACAACATCTGATGAACTTTGAGAGGAAACTCGAAAAAGTCAATGCTGCGATGGTCTTATTGGAAACCAGGGTATGTAACGTGTGAATGTTATCTCTATTTTGATTAAGAACCTTAAGAAATTCTTTTTTACACTCAAAGTAATCTGGGCCAAGTCTTAATATGGAACACTTTATGGTCTCTAAGTCCTACCATGGAACTCATATGTTTTAGATAATTTGTATCTGTCTGTTCATTCCGTGTTTTACTTAGAGACTGTTATTACTAATTAATTTGCTTGGCACAAATTAATTGTGGTGTGGTGACGGATTAATAATACAGAGTGTCACCACCCCTATTCAGCCGACTAAGGGAGGACAACAACACTGCAGAGAGAAGGAAAACTTGAAACAAACCCTATACCAACCCGTCTGGCCAGCGTGGTATAGTAGGCCAAAACCTATTTTCTAAGTCGAGGCCTATGTCCAGCAGTGAACTATTAAAGGCTGTTGATGATGATGAAATTAATTCTACAGATAAAAGTGGAAAAATAAAACTCGGACTCATTTTTTTCATCACCTAACTTATAAAATGTAGAACTTGGCATATATATTTTGTATGAAATACAAAACCCTTAAGAAATTCTATAGATGAAATTGTTATTTCTGTAAACTGTCTGCACTGATGGGGGTTAAGCAGCTGACTACTCTACTGAGTGTTGTGGGTTCGATACCCACATGGGACAACACTTTGTGTGATCCACAAATTTTTATTCTGAGGTGTTCTTTGTGTTTGTTTCATGTATGTTTGTAAAGTCCCCTGTGACACAGGATTTATTTTGAGGGTTTGTTGCCTTAAAAAACAACTGGATACCAAAAAATTATGGAAGCTTACACTGGCCTTGGCCTTGTCATTCATTCGACAGCTAAAAACCATTGTCCAATGAAATTTATGACTGCGCGAAAAAGGAAGTCAAGTGACAGGAGAATGGAAGAAAAAAACTAATGGCTGGAACCCCAAATAAATTTGGGAAAAGAAGATAGTACTATAGTGGTAATATACCATACCATAGTAGGTTAGGTAAAACAATTCACAAATTTGATTTAAAAACCGTTTATTATTTTTCAGTTATCATCCATTCCAGAACTGAACACGCCTACTGCTACAACTCAACCAGATTTGATCGACTCAAATCTGAAAACTGAAGAAACCCAAGACTCCTCTTCAAAGGAAGAACCACAGCAGATTAATGATTCATCCAAGGCAACAGAAACCGTTGTTGCAACTAAACAAGCCAGGCCCGAGTATGACAGATTTGTAAAAATGGTGCAAGTAGGGGTACCATTACCGGCTGTTAAGTTAAAAATATCTTTAGAAGGCCTAGATCCTAATGTTTTAGATGAAATATTAGGCAAATAATTAACTGTAATTGTTAGATATTTAAGAATGCTGTAAGTCTGTTAAGTTATTGGTTAATTTAATTATATTATTGATTTTTTCAATTTACAGGGTAGTAAAAGTGTTTACAGTTAAGAGTTTAATATTAAATATTTAGACATGTACAGGTGTGTGATTCTGAGCAATCGATATTGCTGTCCTAATGGCCTTTACAAATATATGGTAATACGGCTCCAGGCTTTTTTTGCTACTGCATTCTTACGGTCATAGCTCATTAGAGCCACTGACCTCCGACCAGCACCGCGGTTAGTATTCTTTGTATAGAGTAGTATGGGTACACATTCACTTCATCAACGCCTCACCCGAGGGTTGAACTCGCGTGGACGGCGAGTGGATGACTCGGTGACCACCCATCGCTCGCACGATTGTCTTGCGTTGCCCTGCGCAGGTAACAGGACAGGATAATTCTTCGCTCTTTTTACTTCTGCGTCATTGTCGTGCCATAAAAATTTAAAATAAAAGTGTGTGTCAGCTCCGACCCACGACTGGAATTTACTCCTTAACACATGTATACAAGTTATACACACACGCTACTCAAAAGTGAAAGGTGCACATGATAGGTTGCAAATTTTTTGTCATCTATTTTTATGGCGCCGCCAGCCCCCTCCGCTCAGCGTTCCCGTAACGCGAACAAATTTACTTCGATATGCTCCTGTATCACGCGCCATAAGGCTTATATTATTTCAATACAAGTAGATATCTACAACTGTAGCCTGCCGAACTTCAAAGAAGTCGCCCAGAGACGTATTACAGCAAATGATTTTTATGTATAAATAACTTGTTTTACTTACAGTATTATTTTTTTATTTTTAACTTTTTGCACAAGTACATGCATCGGCGGACTTAATGCCTAAGGCATTCTCTGCCAGTCGACCGATTGGGCGGTGCTGAGAAAGAATGAGGCAGGTGCATTTATGGTAGGGTATAAACGATAGTGGTTTTGTTAAATACCAACTATCTTGGAATTTGGTGTATACGCCGTAATACCACACACATACACATATCGTTAGTATCGTTTTGGGATAAATCCTGTAAAGACACTGTAATTGTTTTTAATAAATAAATAAAAAAATTATTATGATAATGGATGCAGGGAACTTAATAGATGTAGTTCGTAACCGTAAATCTTCTTCTTCACATCCTCTTGGATGACCCGAATCCGTGTGCGTTACCCCAGCAAAATAATGTCGAAAATGGTCATTTAAACGTTATAGATAATTAGTTACTCCCCTTCTGTAATTGTTAGGCACATTTTTAAATTTGTTTCACTTGAAGTTTTTTAGTTATTTCAAAAAAACATTTCCTGCTGGGGTAACGTTTGAAAAGTTACCGCAGCCAGACATTTTCTTTTTTAATTGTAATATTGAAATAAATTTTAGCTAAATAATTAGTTATCTGGACTAGGTAAATGTTACAACTTATTTGGTATTTGTATTTTCTTCGGCTGCGAAGTTATTCGAAATCCTGCTGGAGTAACGTTTGTGGGTTTGCTGGATCTCTGAAACGGGTAAGCGGATTGTAACCATCTTTTGTACATAACTTCTTAAGGATTAGTTTTAATTTGTTCGACAATAAAATAACAAAAATAATGGACCGTTTAAAAATTATTTAGGTAAGTATGAAAACACTTCAATACGTCCTAACACTTTAAATAAGACCTCTAAAGACTTACTTGAAACGTTATTCTATTGCTTGTAACTACCTTCAAATGTATACGAATTTTCGTAAGAATACTGTAAGTGACTAAAAAGTTATGATGAAATGTAGCTCTCCACGTTCACGATCACAATGTGTGCGGCCTTTTTGACGTGACAACGTCTTATAAATTGGTTTGCCGGGTGACACTTCAAGAAACTGCGTTACGCTCCGCTCACGTTATGCGCTCACAATGAGAGCGAGTGAGAGGCACGCGTCCCTTCCACTCGGGCAATACGTATGTATGTGTAAAGGTAAAAATAAAATTTTGTTAATATGAAATTCAGTGCGAGATTCTTTGTATAAATTAATGTTTTAAATATAATTCTTTGTATAAGTAAATGTTTTAAATTGTTACTATTATTTCATCCTTCTTCCTACTATACGAATGAATATTCACATTAAAATTATTTTACCACTCAAAGTCGTTGTCACGTAAAACTTTCGCCCGTATACCGACTTTACAGGCAACCAATTTTTTTTGGCCACCGATAAACCTGTGTGTGGATATATAAACTGAATGTTATGCCAATAATTAGTTGTTTAGTTCAGTTGTCTACCTGTAGAATTTCAGCGTCGTACATATAATAATTTACGAGATAATTAAATAAAAGTCATTAGAAGGTGCAAGACCGTGGTAACCCGACCATGTTTAGGTGGTTCCAAAAAAGCGATCACCTAGTACATTGTGCTGGCTTTTAAAATTTGTAGGATATTATTTTGCAAGTTTACTACGGATATGTACATAAGTGTTACAAAAAACTACATGTTTTTTAAATATTTTTTATTTAGGATTGTTTATTGCATAATTAGTAATCAGCCGGGAGATTAGGTATTGTTTTGAATGCTTTTGTTTTCTCGTAATGTTTAGGTGAATTGTTTATAGTTGTTCATAGAATTGGTATCTGCGTAGTATTTGTTAATTGAAGTTTAATTTTAGGGTAGGTATAGGTAATTTAAGAAATATAAAATGAAATGAAATGAAATGATAAGTTTTGAAGAGTGTAACGTATGCGTTGTAAATAGGTATCTTGTGAATAGATGGGGATTTTTTTAAGTGATGAATCGACTTAGGCTAGCATATCGCGAACAAACTCTGTATTGCATTATTTCTGTAATAATGTTGGAGAAAATAAAATATTTGATCACAAAATCGCGGTGAGTTAAATTATAATAAAATAAATTATTGACGTGACAACGTCTTATAAATTGGTTTGCCGGGTGACACTTCAAGAAACTGCGTTACGCTCCGCTCACGTTATGCGCTCACAATGAGAGCGAGTGAGAGGCACGCGTCCCTTCCAATCGGGCATGGTTAGCCCGCCTAAGAGCGAGAGAGACAGACATAGTCGTTGTCACGTAAAACTTTCGCCCGTATACCGACTTTACAGGCAACCAATTTTTTTATGTAAAATTAGTAATAAGTGATATACCTACCTAAAAGTTATGATCGTTTTTAATTTGTTCACCCTGAACGAAATTTCAATATTAGCATTAGTAATTAATATCCTAAGACAAGAATTGACAATTACTTAAATTGAATCGAATTAGCATTAATGCCTATTATTAGTAATTAGGTATACACATATTGAAGAACTCTCAAGAATACGATAAATATTTGCAAAAATAGAAAGCGGAAGCGCACACGTACTTTACAACACGTATATTATCTGCCTAAGGGTCAAGTTTAGTGCACTAGATGCAAATTGCAAACAATGAAGTATCCCTTCGCCCCTCCCCTCCCGCGTTCTAGCGAAAGATGTATTATCAGCGATTCTTGATTGACAAATATTATCTGACCAATAATTTTATCTATAAAAATGTATCACTTTCACTCGATAAATTAAATTACCGTTATTATATCAAAATATCACTCAACAACTCTTCTTTTTTAACAGAAATCAACAGTCACAGGTAGGTACATAGGTATAGATAATTCTCGGTTCTCGGTATAGACCACAGAACAATATTACCTACTCTTACGAGGTATACGACTGTTGGGCGATGCAATGTTGATGCATTCTAATTTACAACTGTATTTTTCTACTATTCGGTCTATTTTAACTAGTTGTAGATGACTTGTTGATTTAAATATTTTGATGCATTCAAGTCTAAGCTCTTTACACCCCAAAATAAAATACAATTACTTTAGTGTTATTTCTTTACAAAAAAAAATCAAAGAAATGAAACGATTTCTTATTGGTTTAAATTTTCGTTTTATTGCAGTCAGGTGAATCGTTCATACATGTATCTACATATTTATAATTTTAGCGGACCAGTGCAGATTTTCTATTGATTGTAGCTCCGGTAGTAAAAAAGACTAAATAAATTTTAAGTAAAGAAACTAGTGCTTAAGATCAATTAGGGAAAAAAACAAAATAAATAATAGGTAATAATAATGACTAAATATTGAATGTATTTAACACTGTACGCAACTGTACCGAAATCGTAAGGTGTATTACACTAAACATTTTAAAAGACAGCGCAATGTACTGGGTGATCGCTTTTTTGTAACCACCTAAACATGGTCGGATTACCACGGACTTGCACCTTCTAATGACTTTTATTTAATTATCTCGTAAATTATTATATGTACTACGCTGAAATTCTACAGGTAGACAGCTGAACTAAACAACTAATTATTGGCATAACATTCAGTTTATATATCCACACACAGGTTTATCGGTGGCCAAAAAAGGCCGCACACATTGTGATCGTGAACGTGGAGAGCTACATTTCATCATAACTTTTTAGTCACTTACAGTATTCTTACGAAAATTCGTATACATTTGAAGGTAGTTACAAGCAATAGAATAACGTTTCAAGTAAGTCTTTAGAGGTCTTATTTAAAGTGTTAGGACGTATTGAAGTGTTTTCATACTTACCTAAATAATTTTTAAACGGTCCATTATTTTTGTTATTTTATTGTCAAACAAATTAAAACTAATCCTTAAGAAGTTATGTACAAAAGATGGTTACAATCCGCTTACCCGTTTCAGAGATCCAGCAAACCCACAAACGTTACTCCAGCAGGATTTCGAATAACTTCGCAGCCGAAGAAAATACAAATACCAAATAAGTTGTAACATTTACCTAGTCCAGATAACTAATTATTTAGCTAAAATTTATTTCAATATTACAATTAAAAAAGAAAATGTCTGGCTGCGGTAACGTTTCAAACGTTACCCCAGCAGGAAATGTTTTTTTGAAATAACAAAAAAAGTTTAAGTGAAACAAATTTAAAAATGTGTCTAACAATTAAAGAAGGGGAGCAACTAATTATCTATAACGTTTAAATGACCATTTTCGACATTATTTTGCTTGGGTAACGCACACCCCTAATACGTAAAACAGAATTTTCCAACAATAAAAGTTCTGATGACCTTCTGACCTATCCATTTCCGCCCTAAGTACTCTTCTTCACGGACGAAACAATAAGTATGTTCAGTGCTAACCCGAAATAGGTAATTAGATTATGGATTGTCATGGATCGGTCGCAAATAGTCGCTCGCTGCCACGCTGCACGAGCTCTAGTGCCTTGAGAATTCTGACGGCACCATGTAGATCTGCAGCCACATTTAGCGCTCAAGCTCACATACATAATGTAAAACGGAACTCGTCTTACTGTAGAAAGAGATGCTAAAATAACGTTTATTTCATTTAATTTGAATATGATTGCACGCCAATTAGGTTGATTTTAGGCTTCTCGCATCTAGCTCCTGCCAGCCATGTTGCGCAAATCGTCACTCCACCTGGCATGTGGGCGTCCTACACTACGTTTGCCAAGACTTCCCCAACGGTTATAATTTGAATATATTAAATACAAATATATTTAATGGATGCATAAGCCACCGATGAGCAGGTCAGTGAGACAAATCCTCAGGGAATTTCACTGATTATAATTGACGTTAATGAGGGTGAGATCGACGCATCATCTTAATGTATAGCAACAACACGAGAGTATGTATCTACTTGTTTTATTTAATAAAATTGGGTTTATTTTTTTTATCAGAACCGGATTTTAATAAAAATAGGGATATACTCTTTACATATAAATCTTTTCAAAAAAAATATCGGTTCATAAACAATAAGAGTTCATTCACGCGGAGACAAAATAAACATTGATTCTCTTTTTTTCTTAAAATAGATTTAAAAGTAAGCGGCCTAGCCTGTCTAATCATTGTTATAGTTAAACCGCCGTAAGCTTGGCCCTCCTGATGGTTTGCGGGACGCGGGGCGGGTGATGCGCTCGGCTATACATGACACGATGTACTAACTCGATATCTTCAGATTTATTTGTTTGAGATTTAATCTACACACGATGTAATAAAAATCGAATTTATTTCCATGTATTAAAATGTCAGTGTATTGTAAGTTTCTATGATTAATTGTAAAATTTAATACTGTAAAATAATTTTAATAAAATCACCTTATCTTCATCATGTAAATTATATTCAGATACAATTTAAAAATTAAGTAAAATAATAAATATTCTTTATTAGAACTTTAACAGTAGAACCTCTGTAAGCCGAACTTCAAGTTTTTAAATCTTTTTGTGACGCAGAGTCGGCAGATTATCTATGTTGCAAAATAATATTGTGTGTAGCAGTCTTAAGAAAAATAACACGTACAGCCATACTTTCACGTCAGTCACTGCCGGCTGCTGCCGGCGGACAGCGACGCACTAGCTAATTGGCTGAATGCACCCCCGCCCCGCGTCCCGCAAACCATCAGGAGGGTCAAACTTACGGCGGTTTAACTATAAACACACACAAAAAGCTGAAAATTTCGAAACAGGTGAAATCCTTGTAACAAAAAAAAAAAACTTCTCTAAGTTAGGTACTACAAGTGTTCGGAAATTCGATTCGGTGATTCGGAAGGTAATAAGTAATTGTCTTATTTGATGTCCTGAAGAAAAAGTGTGCCTCACAAAACCAAAAAGGTTTTTAATAGTAATTTTAGGAAGAAAATAGTAAAAACCCGCCATTTAGGTAATAACCAGTTTCTTTATAAAAAACCCGGTTTAAACCCTCTGCCCAACTTCATCTTTACAACGAAAATACCTTTCATGACAGTTGTGAGATCGAAAATTTATCGCAACGACCAAACTTTTATTACGAGAATCGGCCTTCTGGCCACATTTGCCGAAAGACTGATAGTTGATGCTTACAGATCCTTGCAGTCTCATTCCTGTTGTAGCTAGCTGACCTTTGCATAGACCAATGATAGTTGTATAGTCCTAAATAGAAAAAAAAGCATCATAGTCTCACCTAGTATAATGTAAGTGTATGGTGCTTTTAGGGACAGGGGATTGCACTTTAGGCAAGTTTAAGCTTTTTCCAGCTTTTCAATATACTAAGATGGTGTTAATATTATGGAGGTTGTAAATCAAATCCTTAACAGTCCACTGGTAGACATGGGCCTCCTACAATGGAGGTTTAAGCCTACTATATCACGCTGTCCTTCTCTCTGCAGAGTGCTGTTGTTCTGCGTAGTTTGCTCCCTTAGCCGGCTCTTACGACACCCAAGGGATAAATACGGGGTGGTATAGACAGTTCAACTCAGTTGTGCGCGCGGCCCTATGTGTGCGTGGGCTTGTAAATATACAACTTTCATTCGTGTGGCAGTGACGCGGCAGTCGGACGACGACTGCCACACGAATGAAAGTTGTATATTTACAAGCCCCTTTATTCATAACACTGTATCCTTAATCCGCCACCACACGGTTTGGAGGTTGTAAATAAAAATCAAAAAGTTAGTTGTCCTTATTTATTATCCAGCCTAGAACTGAATCATCTGTCCCTTCCTCTTCTTGTCACCACCGAGCTCGAAGTGCTTGCAGCGCTTAAGTGCTACTTGTGACCTAACCTTGCAATCGGCACATTCCAGACGGAGCACAATTTTCTTGGTAGTTTTCGCCTGGAAGAAAAAAGGCAGTATTGTTATTATATTGTTGCCAAATTATAATTTTTTAATAATAATAAAACTTTAGCGCGAACACAAGATTCATTGGGTTCATTAAAATAAAACAAAGGAAACAAAATCTACAAACTAAAAATAGAGACAAAAAAAATAGAAAGATATTATGCTGCTGCTTTGATTCAATGCTTTTTAGATGACGTAATTTTTCCTAATGACATCATCATCATCAGCCTATCGCAATCCACGGCTGGACATAGGCATCTCCCGCACGCCACTTGGATCGACTTTGGGCTTCTCGCATCCAGCTCCATCTTGCGGCAATTGTCACTCCACTTGGCCTGCGGGCGTCCTACTATACGGTTTTGGTCAGTCATAGACTCATTTAACAGAGAGGACTTAACAAAATATACTGTCACTTGTCCATAACATTGCTAGCATTAGTTTCAATTTTGTTTATAAAATGTTATCTATACTAATATTATAAAGCTGAAGAGTTTGTTTGTTTGAACGCGTTAATCTCAGGAACTGGTCCGATTTGAAAAATTATTTCAGTGTTAGATAGCCCATTTATCGAGGAAGGCTATAGGCTATATATCATCACGCTAAGACCAATAGGAGCGGAGCACCAATGAAGAATGTTTCAAAAACGGAGAAAATTTATTACTATTGAGAGACGCAGACGAAGTTGCGCGGGTCAAGCTAGTTGGAATATAAAGTAGCTGAGCTGTAAGCTAATCTAATTTTGTCCCAAATTTCATTCAGATCTATCCTATCTGGTGTTGTTGAGTAACAGTCATCCATACAAACTTTCATATTTATAAGATTTAAAGGCAGTGTTACTAGAGTTTTATACAATTTCAAAACCTTAGAACGCTTCCAAAACTGCTTTATGATTTATAGATAGTTCAACTCAGTTGTGCGCGCGGCCCTATGTGTGCGTGGGCTTGTAAATATACAACTTTCATTCGTGTGGCAGTGACGCGGCAGTCGGACGATGACTGCCACACGAATGAAAGTTGTATATTTCGCGCACAACTGAGTTGAACTATCTATACAAACATTTAAAGAGACTACTTATGTATAGAGTAAGCTGAACCCCTGGTATTTTATACCTATGCCTAAATAACTACTGATGGGTGATAAAAGTATGTTTAGAACACATTTAATCACAATATCATGATCATTACAATATATAAAACTTATGAATTTATGAAATGCAAATGCTGAGATGGATGTGTGGTGTGACTCAGATGGACAAGGTTAGGAATGAGTATATACGAGGGAGTCTGAAAGTAGCACCACTGGATGAAAAGTTAAGAAGTAATAGGTTATCTTGGTATGGACATGTCATGCGGAGGGATGAGGAAAATGATGCAAAGAAAGTTTTAGGTATGGGAGTTGAAGGGTACAAGAGAAGAGGCAGACCGAAGAAAAGGTGGATGGACTGCGTGAGGGAGGATATGGCTAGGAAGGGGGTAAACAGTGAGATGACGCATGACAGAGTAGAATGGAAAAATCATACATACTGCGCTAACCCCAAATAAAATTGGCAAAAGGGTAGGCAGATGATGATACAAAACTTATGATTTGGTGTATAGTGATGGGCTGTGCAACTCAAAATGGCATGGTATGCATACCACCAAATGGATTTAAATATGAGTCTACTACACTCAAATATAACTCATACTAAACTAAGAAAATAATTTATTAAGATACACTTCAGTCTAAACTATGTTCAATACTGCATAGGTGGTGTAGATGGTTTAAGCTGTTGCCACTACGCTGAGTGATGTAGGTCCGATCCCCACATGGGAGGACACTGTGTAATCCACAAATTGTTGTTCTGAGTCTGAGTGTTATTTGTGTCCGTTTCATGTATGTTTGTAAAGTCCCCCGCTACATAGGATATATTCCTAATGTGGGAGTTGTCTTTTTAAAGATATAAAATAATATACTTTATTTTAACATACCTTACACATTTTCTGATTTCAGACTAAGCAGTGTGCACTATAGTAACTAGACTGCTTATTAATATACTCATATATTACAAAAAATCATTGAAATTAAATTAAAACATAGGGGAAATAAATAATTAAGCTCAACACAATTGTAATAGATTGGAATCAAACCCACACCCACTGGCTTGCTAACCATAAGACTGATAGCCCTGGTAAATGCTTGCATTATTTCATCCATCCATTCTACTTTACATTATTCATATTTTTTCTTAATTATTACAGCTGATCTTGCACATTATTTTAAGCGTTAAGTACAAACTTGAGAAATGTTGGCTTGTAACATAATAACTTAACACATGGCTTAACAAGGCAGAGCCAGTACTATGCTAACCAGACTGCTAATAAACATTTGTGAATATATATACTTCTAAGATACATATTTATACACACAAAGAGACTCAAAAAAACGACCATACCCATCAAACAATTATTTGCTTAAAAGTGGAATCCTTAATATAAATCAATCTTCAATTTAGTATAATGTATATGGTATACATGTCTGTTCAATACTTGTTGAGTAATTTTTATTGTTTAAAAACAAAATTGAGTTTCGATGCTGTTTCGACTCAAAATTATACCTACATAAGAACTATTAAAAACAAAACAATCCGGTCGTAACATTTTTACACTCTTGACAACCTTAATGCCAATAAGATTCCATAAGAACCCTTAAGGTTATGTCGGCTTACCTTCTTTTTGAAGATGGGTTTGGACTGACCACCATAACCCTGTTGTTTACGGTCATAACGTCTTCTACCCTGGGCAGCGTGCCTTTCTTTGGACTTTTTGTACTGTGACACCTTGTGAGTCTTGTGGCACTTACATTTTTTGCAGTATGTCCTGCGCTGTTTGGGTACGTTAACCTGGAATAGTCAAAGATAAACGTAAAATATCTTGACAGTTGGGATCACCAGCACACTGTCTAGTAATTTCACTTTCATATATTTAATTTTCTTTAACATATTTAAGGATTTCAGTGGATTATTTTTGATGAAAACACAAACCATTTTGCCGTTCGCTATGCACGATATTCTCAAACGTCAAAGAAAGAGAGAGATCTGTCAAAGTGGGATAATGACAAAAAATATTTTAAATGTTGCTAGTATAATGTTGTGATAAAAAATTGAAAATCCATCCCTGGTAGAAATTACACTTGTTAACATAATTTTCGTAGTGCCATTCGAAGTTTTTTAGTGTTTCTACTACAAGAAAATCTACAAGAAGAAAATTTTAAATAGTTCTCTAGAAATCTGTAAATGATATGATTAGTAAAGAAAAGGTCTACGATTTACTGACATATTTGGTTGATGCCTTTTAAAAGTCTAGCAGTAGTCAGCCAAACATTCTTAGACTCAATCAAACCTAGTTTTTCTTCTTCTTTATTTTTTTATTTGAAATGTACTAGTTTAAACTTTCTCCATGCTCATCACTTATAGCCCCTAAATTTTCTGGAAAAAATTCAACACTGAAGCTCTTTAATTCATTCTTTTTGGTTCTCCAACTGTTGTTATGCCAAGCAGATTTTTCTAAAACGTCTAATTTTTATTCTTAAGTCTAATATATTTATATAAATCAGGGCATCGAACTGTGTATTTTGATAAGTTCTGCCAATCACAAATTTTTTTGCAAAAATCGCAACCAATATGTGGGGCCTTAAGTTAGCTTTGTCTTGATGAGCAGCCGTAAACTTAAAGCACTCGTGCGTAATAGCACTTCAAATTAAATTCAGAAAATTCCACCTTCGATTTTCGAAAGTCAGTTCACCAGAAATACAACAAAGGAGTTAGAATATTAGAATCATTCTCTTGATATATTCTCAGAAGCACGGAAGTTACAATTAAATCCAAAACAATTTAAATTAATCACGAAAACAAATATACAACACGATTTTTAAATACGCGTTTATCGCTACAATATCGAAAATGAACTTGACATCACTTAAAAACTGAGTGATTGAAACAAAATAAGTGCGTATCCGTAATGTGGATACGTAGTCAAAACACTCACCCATCAGAGTTCGTGTAGCATAGCCACTGTTGACTTAAGATTTCTAAGATCTGTGGTAGTGTATATAGTCTTTGTCCCCCGTCCCCATTGTTTTGCTTTGGCTGTTTGGCGCCAAAAGTGAATGACTGACATTGAGTATTGACAAAGTGTTCTCTTTAAACATTAAAGTATTTTTTAGTTAATATAAGTTACAAAATATGAAATTCGCAATCCCAGAAATATCATGGCACAACCGGGATCCTGTTTTAAGTGTCGATTTTCAACCTAAAGCTGAGAGTAATGAGCCATTACGACTTGCTACTGGTGGAACCGATTCTCATGTTTTGGTAAGAATTATTTAGACCTTTCCTTGACTCGTAAATTAAAAATAATAAAATGGTCTGGAGTCACGTACTGAATCTGAAAAATGCTTTTAATTCAAAAGTCATAAAGAAAGAGTAGAGGTACAGGATCACGAGACCAAAATATGTATTAAGGAAAAGTCAGGTTTAGGATTAACTCTGATAGACAGTTCTACACATTTGTGTCCTTATTGTAATCACATATAAGATTTACCTTGCAGATTTGGTATTTATCTACAACAGACTCAGGTTCTGTAAACCTGGAAGTAGCTGCGGATCTCACACGCCACCAGAAAGCTGTTAATGTTGTCAGATGGTCTCCTAATGGAAAATTTTTGGCATCAGGCGATGATGAATCTATTATTTTTATATGGAAGAAGACTGATAAGGAACCAGCACCAGTATTAGACCAAATCGAGGAACAGTATAAAGAATCATGGGTCATTCACAAGGTTTGTCTTATAATTACGTTTAAATTCTGCATTTATGTGACTTTGTTATCCATGTTGCTGTGCCCGACAGGGTTCATGATTGTTACCATTAATGTAAGTTTAATACCTGTAGTACGGTATTGTGAGTTGATAAAGAATTGTGAATTGACATAACTTTAAAAAAGAAGCAAAAATAAGAAGATTTGCAGAAGATGAGGTGACACAATCTAGTTTCATAGTACAAGCTCTGCTTAGTTTCAAACTAAGCAGAGCTTGTACTATGAAAGCTAAAGTGGTTAGAATACCTAAAATTTTATACATATGATATGATATACATATCAACGGGCCTGTTGGTCTAGTGGTTAGTGACCCTGACTGCTAAACCGGAGGTTGTGGGTTCGATTCCCACCCAGGACAGATATTGTGTAATGAGCATCAGGTCATTTGTTCTGTGTCTGGGTGTAATTTATCCATAATATGTATGTATTTAGAAATATATAAGTATGTTTAACAGCGGTCTGGTTACCATAGTACAGGCTCTGCCTAGTTTGGGATCAGACGGCCGTGTGTGAGATATATTATATTATTATTAATACATAGAAAAGACTCAAACTCTGAAACAAATATTTTCAGATCATACATACAATTAGCAAGAGTATATGCTCATGGATAGTCAAAACAGCTCATCAATCAATTTTTTTGTATTTATTTTTTAATTTTGCTTGTGTAACTCTTTATATCTTCCACATTCTAGACTCTCCGTGGTCACATGGAAGATGTACTTGACATATCGTGGAGTGCCAACTCACTGCACCTGGCATCAGGCTCCGTAGACAATAAATTGTTGGTATGGGATTTAACGAGGGGGAAATACAGTTGTATATTGTCTGATCACAAAGGGTTTGTGCAAGGAGTATCTTGGGACCCTAAGGGACAGATGATTGCTACCGTCAGTACTGACAGGTAACAATTAATTTTATAAAATCTATTTTAATGTGCCACTGAGATCAATCTGTTTCAATCCCTTCATTCCTTTGGGTACCTACAAGGTATAGGCAATATAGCTACTTGGTGCTTGCTAGCAGATCTTTTTACCATTTGTGTAAACTGAATGATATCAATCCCTATACTTGCAGTGTGTCTTCAGCAAGATGGTGTTAGAGCTATATATTTTTTTAGTACTAGAAATTATTTTACATATGAGATATAAAATCCCCATACCTCAAAACTACACAAGTAAACAATTTAATAGCACATGACCATAATTGTATACACTCTTTTATTAATGCCCCATGCAAGTGTCCCAGTATAGAAGTTGTTGACAACCAAACGTATTTAGGCCTACACATAGACAGCAAATTTAATTGGAAGGCTCACATAGAATATGTCTGCAACAAGTTGAGGCAATTCTTGGCGAACATGTTATTTGGCAATGGCAAAAACCTACATTGTTTAAGTAAGTGTTAAATAAATTAAAAAAAAATAAAAGAATGTAAAATAATTTAGACAGATTATTGACTTACTTTGCTGGTTTGCTTCAATCACTTAGATTTAATTCATTCTAATAACTATCAGTGAAAACTTTATAATTGCCTTATAGACGTATATACCAATGTATTTTAGTAAGTATGTTATGTAAGTTTTAAATGTTTAAAAATAAATAAATGCACTTTTAAATTAAAATATAAAATTATAATACTAGAAAAAATGATAATAAGGACTGCACAGATGGGGTTGTGATTTAAGCGGTCACCCCACTGCTTTCTGCTATGTTAAGTGTGTTGTGGGATCGCTAGATTTACAGCAATTTAATTTTAATTCTTGTGCTTCCTCAATTGTAGGATACCATAACAAGAATTATAACAATTATTTGTGTAAAAAATAGTAAATCAGTAGTTGTAAATAGATTGTGAGGCATGTTTGTTAAGTCCTTTGCTACACAGGATATATTCCTAGTTGTCTTTTATAAAAGAAAACAGAAAATACACACTAGTAATGTTAGGCATAATCGTCAATGTTTGCATGTTAGTGCAAATGCTTTATTTAACTTTTGAGTGGATTGAAAAACTAGCTAAGTAACACAACATACTTGCTGGATTAAATTTGTTAATATATACATAAATCCTATTTTTAGACCATTTGTAAAATATGTAAGCTTAGATATGGCATACGGTTAAATGTATTCTTTCATAAATAATTTCATGGTTTCAGAACACGGAACACACTCTAAAAAAGTTATAAAATATGTCAGCATTTCTTTTAGGTTTAAATTTTAAGATAATTAAATTTTACTAAGAAAATTAATATATCTAATCTTGAGGAATTTCTATTCCATCGACAGAGTATTCCGGACATTCGACGTGGCCACAAAGAAAGTGATATCCCGTAACAGTAAGGCTATCCTGCCGTTCCCTGCCGACCACCCCCTTCACGACACCAAAGTTCGGCTCTACCACGACGACACGCTGCAGACATACTTCAGACGGCTCGAATTCAGCCCCGACGGGTTGCTGATAGCCGTGCCGGCGGGCAAAATCGAACCCGAACAGGGGAAAGTCGATATCGAGCCGACGAACGCCGTGTATATATATACGAGATACTGTTTAAAAGCGTAAGCTAATAGATTATCTTATATACTCGTATAAAATTCTCGTGTCACAATGTTCGTTCCCGTACTCCTCCGAAACGGCTCGACCGAGTCTCTAGAAATTTTGTGTGCACATCGGGTAGGTCTGAGAATCGGCCAACATCTATTTTTCATACCCCTAAACGGTAAGGGTGACCCATCCTTAATTTTTTTTTGTTTTACAATACAACGTTTGCCGGGTCAGCTAGTAGATTATAAATGTATATCGGTCGTGTGTCGTGAGGCCCGGTGTGAGGTGTGAGGTGTGCGGTGTTGCAGGCCGGCGTGCGTGCTGCCGTGCGGGTCCCCGGCGCTGGTGTGTCGCTGGGCGGCGCGGGGGCTGGCGGCGCGGGGCGGGGGGCCGGCGGGGCCCTTCCCCGCGCGACACGTGCTGGCCGTAGGCACCAAGCACTCCGTGCTGGTCTACGACACGCAGCAGAAGACTCCTATCGCCATCGTCTCTAACATACACTATACGAGGTTACGACTTGTTTATTTCACTATCAATGTTAGTACATCATTATATTACATACGACGACGACAGGGTTTAGGTAATTCATCATCATCATCATCACTATTGGTCTACCGTAATCCACTGCTGGACATAGGCCTCTCCACTTAGATCAATTTGGGGCTTCTCGAATCCAACTTCTGTCAGTCATCTTGCGCAAATCGTCACTCCACCTGGCCTGTGGGCGTCCTACACTACGTTTTTAAGTAATTGGAAAGTGTAAATTTCTTACATGAACAGAATCAAACTGAGATACAATCTTTTGACTGAAATAGCTAGCTATATTATGACTACTTCTTGTAGCTTCTGAAATCATCGTACAGAAGTTTCATTCTTGCAAACTACACGAACAACATATGTAAGCAATATACATTTTTTAAACATGTCACTAACACAATACTGACGATGACCAAATCTAACACATTCCACTTATAAATTTATCCTGTTCATCAGACTAACAGACCTGACATGGTCTCCCGATGGATGTACGTTGGTGGCGTCCAGCACAGACGGGTACTGCTCTGTGATCACCTTCGCTAAGGGAGAACTCGGCGAAGTGCTGCCTGACGATGAACCAAAAGGTCCTGCTCCAGCTACAGGTTATTATTGTACCAACTTTTATAATTATGTGGCAGATTGTCTCTTGTGTGATGATGAGCGCTTTACAATTAGCGTGGATAATTAGCATGTGTTTTGTGGAACAAATTGTCGCCTGCAATGATTCCAATGCGATTTTCATACCATTAGGTGAATCATTTGCTTTTATATCTTCAATATCAGAAAAAAAAATCGGTTGTCTGTAAAGTCGGTTTACTAACGATAGTTGAACGTGACAACGTCATAAGAAAATACTAATCGAATGGTTGCATTTTTCAAAAGAAATTTCACTCAAGTAGGAGAGAGACAGATGTCGAACGCTGCCGAACGCGGAGGCCGATTGTGCCTCTTTGTCACTCGTTCCGCGCTCTCGCTTGCACTTCACGCCTTAAATGGAACGCCTCAGAGCGAGGTAACGCCGCATGAGTCATGTTTTTTCGTGCGTGCAGCCGGCTCCATCGAATTATAAGACGTTGTCACGTCAAAAAACTTTGTGTATTGAAATCAAGTCAATTAAATTATTACCCAAATTTCGTTAATTGAATAATAACCTCACACATCTCCTGATCCTGAACTAGGCAGAGCCTGTACTATGGTAACCAGACTGCTGATAAACGACCGGATGGCGTAGTGGTTTGTGTAACGGACTGCTATTCCAAAGGTCGCGGGTTCGATTCCCGCTCAAATCAAACATTTGTGTGTATGAACATTTGATGTTTGATTTGGTCTGGGTGTTTCTATGTATAATATGTATGTATTTACAAAAAAAAAGTATATATGTATTTATATCAGTTGTCTAGTACCCATAGTACAAGCTCTGCTTAGTTTGGGACTAGATGGCGTTGTGTGAATGTGGTAGAATATTATTATTATTATATATTTCTAAATACATGCATATTATAGCTAAATTATTTGTCCTGGGTGGGAATCGAACCCACGACCTCCGGTTTAGCAGTCAGGGTTACTAACCACTAGACTAATGAATGCATAAATAAATGAAAGTCAAAAGAAACAATCCATGTTTTAGTAGTAAAGTTTTTTTTATTGAAACTTTGCAGAGCCTATGGAAATTGACGAACAACCAGAAACACCTAAAGAAGAGAAGACACCAGAAGGTAAATCAAAACAAAAGGACCCACAGACCACTACTGCAAAGGAACAGAAGGTAAAACCAGTCAATAAAATAGATATATCAACAAAATTCAAAGCACCCGGAGAGAAATCACCAAAAAAACAGAAAGTTGAACCACAACAGAAAACTCCTGTGAAAATAGATGTACTAGAAGAAATGGCTATGCCCTCGTGGTCAGACAATAGTAGTAATGAAATGATCCGACCTAAAGATACTAGGAAAGATTCTGAAATAATGGTTATTGAAGACAGCGAAGACATCAAATTAGTTTACGAGGAAACTCAAGACAAATCTGAAAGCCAATCTCCAAAATCCCCTAAAACCAATAACACTAAAGATCAAACTGTGCCTAAAACCATGGAAGCTAAACCCGCTGTGCAAGCAGTCACTCCGAAAAGCATTCAAAATGCTGAAAAAGATCACCAAAGTACCCCGAAAGTTTCTCAAACGACTTTAGAAAGTAATAACTTTTTAAGACGTGCCAAAGTGACTGATGCAAAGGAGCCAGCTTCTGGAGGGGGCGGCACCAGCCCCAAGGCGCCTCGACGAGTCGCTTTTGTCACATTATCCAGTCCTAAAAACGCTAAGAAAAAATAGTGGTAATATTTATTGATTGCGGTTAAGATTTATGTTGAAAATGTTTATCAAATATATCAATTTTATACACAAATGATTTTATTTTTCGTAGTAACTTTCTAATCACGTTAACCCATCTTACATCCTGATCCGTGCAGTCATTAAGAATACGGAATGTCACTACCCCAATTCATCCCGGGGGTGTCGTAAGAGGCGACTAAGGGCGCAAAACAACGCAGGACACCAGCACTGCATAAAAAAGAAAAACTTGACACACACTGGCTAGAAAAAATTTGTCGTTTGTCGCCAAATATCAGAATTTGTCGGTCCCTCACTGGTTCAAAAGTTATAAGCGTTTATAGGAGGGCCTGTGAGGGTCAGTATCCAAAGCAGTGCCACGCTTGTATGTCAATAACTAGGCCACCTAGCGACGATTTGTTTTCTCCCAAAATTAGTCGAAATCAGTCGCCAAATATCAGAATTTGTCGGTCAACGGTTGAAAAGTTATAAGCGTTTATACTCGTAGGTGGCAGATCTGGGGATAATCTCCTCAGCTTAGCCTCGTTGATATCTCAAAAACTACCTAGCGAAGATCTGTTGACTTCCAAATCTATACGGGTCTTACTTTAGAAGATATAATGAGTTCAGTTTATATGGTCTAAGAACTAGATAGAAGAATTTTCTAAAAATTATATTATTGTAGGTGCGCTTCTAGTTTTAAGTCCTTAGAAATGTCAGAGAAAGAGATAAATTCTTGATTAAATACTTTTACTTTTGAAATTAATAATTTGTATTTTTGGTTTGTGCATTTTGTTGTTTTATGTATCAAAATTAAAAGCCACAGTGTCAGTGACATCTTGCACTATTCCATCCCGCTTAGGAGAAACCAGCTGCCGAGAAGCACTTCATAGCTCATCCCTAAACCTATTTAGGGATGAGCTATGAAGTGCTTCTAGGATGAGCTATGAAAAATACATGTATATTCCCTATTGGGCCTACCCAATAGGGAATATACATGTATTTTTTTATTCTTTTTAACGATTCTACTAGTTATTACATTACCAAAAATAAATATAACACATCCGAAATATAAACCGTTAAGCAAAAATTTTTTTATTAAAATCACTATCATTTTTGGGCAATTTGAACACGTCCATTTTGGCGCGCTTTTTTTGTGACGTCAGATTACACTTTCAGACGAATTCGATGTCAACAACGGAGTGAAGTTCACAAAGTTTCTGAAAGTTAAAAAAGTGAGTGATAAAAATTAACTTATTACCATGGAAAAGCCAATAAAAACCTATTATAAATATTGTGCCGTTCCTTTGTGCCCAAATAATATCAAAACTGCACCTGAGCGTATTTCAGGTTATATTTATATTATACGACTATTAATAAAACCATGAAAACGATCATTTAAAAAAAATTATATAACTTGTTTACCTCGCAGCTTTTACTCCTCTGAGTTCAGCAGACGTAAAATCTGAATAGGGAATATGCAAGTATGTGTATGTATGTATATATGTAATTTTTATTGCTAAAAAAGATGCCCATACAAATATTTTTGAAATTTATTATAATTTAATAGTGAAATTTAATCATCAAAAATTGGCTTTTTTAAGATTCCCTCGCAAATTTCTAAAACGCAACGCTATTGGTTGAATAAAACGTGACGTCAACCTACACCGTCAAGAGTGTCAACAAGTTGTGTGTATTTGTAATATTTGGTTTCTGGTGATTATTTGTTTCATTTTAAGTTAATAACTAATACGTTTTCAGTGTTAAATTATTAAATTCCCGTGTAGAAAGACTTAACACAATGACTGAATATACTTTGTCAGGTGCAGTTTTGATATTATTTGGGCACAAAGGAACGGCACAATATTTATAATGTTTTTATTGGCTTTCCATGGTAATAAGTTAATTTTTATCACTCACTTTTTTAACTTTCAGAAACTTTGTGAACTTCACTCCGTTGTTGACATCGAATTCGTCTGAAAGTGTAATCTGACGTCACAAAAAAAGCGCGCCAAAATGTACGTGTTCAAATTACCCCAAAATGATAGTGATTTTAATAACAATTTTTTTTGCTTAACGGTTTATATTTCGGATGTGTTATATTTATTTTTGGTAATGTAATAACTAGTAGAATCGTTAAAAAATAAATAAAAAAATACATGCATATTCCCTAATGTTCTGTGCGCTTCTTTTCTATACTGAAGAATAGGACACATCTCCCATTCAAGTTCAAAAACTCTCAGAGTTGCAGAGAGTTCCTGTCTAAGGAACATTTTGTTTTTGTACTTTTTTGATTTTATTGGGTTTTATTAAATCCGCTGAGTGTTTGGTGAGGTAATGAGGCATTAATAAAATAAAACAACAACTTAAAAGTAAACATTTATAATAAATATTTACAATTCAATATGTTTATCACGTTTCAAATAAGGGTGAGTTTATAACAAAATATATTTCCGTCAATAGAAATTACTACCTACCTATTCGTCCGAATGATACGTGGTTTGATCAGGCTAAACAGAACTAATGTATAACATGGCATTTTCTTGTAGTTACCGAGCAAAACACCTTAAAATATTTAAATTACAACTCTTATTTAAATTAGATTACATACTCAAATAAAAAAAAATACACTTTGTTTAATCATAAACGCATTCAAGGTAGTAAAGTCTCTACAACAAAGACCGGTAATGTGTAAGTATTTTAAAACACCAAGCTTTTTTTTAAGTAATGTTTTGTACGCAGTTATTTTGATCCATCGCTAATCCGTGTGGTGACGGATTAAGAATACGGAGTGTCACCACCCCTATTCAGCCCGTGGGTGTCGCAAGAGACGACTAAGGGAGCAAACTACGCAGGATAAAAGCACTGCAAAGAGAATGAAAACTTGATACAAACCCTATACTAACCTGTCTGGCCAGCGTGGTATAGTAGGCCAGAACCTCCTTTGTAAGGAGAGGCCTATGTCCAGCAGTGGACTGTTATAGGCTGTTGATGATGATGATGATGAGATAGCTAATATAGGTTCTAGAATACATATAAAGATATTAATAGCAATGAAATGTAAAAAAAGAAAATACTTGCACATTTCCTTGGCAGGTCTCCGAGACTGATCATAAAATAAAGGTGCGTAAACACAAGACCTATGGATGACAGGAGACCGCCTGCCTTGTCTACTAGTAAACACCGCAAACAAAAATTGAAACAAGTAAAAAAAATACAAAATATCTATACTTACACTTGAATCAACTACAAGAAAACCCAACGCATCGCATTTCAAATCATTTGTAACAAACACGTAGACAGTTCTACGTATACAAATGTGTGACGTCACTGCTCATGGTCGTCGTTACCTAATATACGGGTTGGTATCATAACACTTGACTATGGCGGCGGGGCCCTATATTTTATACCCATGTTATATTATATCGTTATGTTATAGTCCGTGTGGTGACGGATTAAGAATACAAATTGTCACCACCCCAAATCATCCCGTGGGTGTAGTAAGAGCCGACTAAGGGAGCAAACTAAGCAGGACAACAGCACTGCAAAGAGAAGGAAAACTTGAAACAAACCCTATACCAACCCGTCTGGACAGCGTGGTATAGAAGGCCAAAACCTCCTTTCTAAGGAGAGGCTTATGTCCAGCAGTGGACTATTACAGGCTGTTGATGTGATTATGATGATGATGAATATTCATCAAAGTTGAGGAAAGATTTTCAATTGCTTTTTTGTTCTAGTAAAAAGGACTTTAATGTTGCTCCTTACGGCATATTACGATGAATGATTACATTTTGATGAATTAATATATTACAAGTTTGATAGGCTGATTAAGATCTTAAATAAATACGAATTATAAAGTGTCCGTAGGAAAACCGCTACACTTGTTTCGTATTTAGCCTTTCAGATCACAGAGACAGATCAGGTTTTGATGTATAGAAAAAATACAACGGTTTCTCTTAAACCTTATTCTGACTTCGCTGCAATTACAATAAACAAAGTACTAATTATTTGCGTGTATTTTTCACATTATACTAAAGGAAGACTCAGTAAGTTTAGCGTTAAAAATAAAAACCCCGCCGCCATTAGTACAAGGTGTATTACTACATACACAACAGTTGATATTTTGTCTGCAGTTAGCTATCGAATGAATATTATCCAACACAAAAATGTCTTAAGTCGTTTGATCAATAACCAAAACAAAAAACAACCTTATTGTTAGTGTTTAAGGTTGAAAGTTAATGGGAAGCTTCGCTCAGTCTTGAAGTCGTCAAAGGAGCGCTTGAATGTAGGTCTTTTGTATAATAATTATGTTTTATTTGTATTATCTATGGTTTATCGGTACAATCTCGCGAATTCGCGCAGCAACCGGGTCATCTCCTTGTTTTTTTCGGCTCTGTAACAAAGAAAAATATTTTTTTACAGATAAAAACTTAGTACATTTCACACACTGGCCTAAAATACACTAAGCCTTTGGTAACCAGACTGCTGAGAAACACAATTATATGTTTCTAAATACATACATATTGTTGCGCCATAAGATTATGGTTCTTGTATTGTGTAGTTCGTGAACAATCCAGTCATATGGGATCCGTCCGTTATCTAGTATCAAGTAAGGCACAACGGACACAACACATTAAAATATTGATTGATAATTCTCTGCACGGATGGCGTAGTGGTTTAAGCGGTCGCCACGCCGCTTCCTACTGCTCCGAGTGTTGTGGGTTCAAACCCCACATGGGACGACACTTTGTGTGATCCACAAATTGTTGTTCTGAGTCTAGGTGTTCTTTGTGTCCGTTTCATGTATGTTTGTAAAGACCCCCGCGACACAGGAATGTATTCCTAATGCGGGCCTTGTCTTTGAAACAAAAAAAAAAAAAAAAAAAATACTTGTGTTGGCCTTATGGGACACTATTGTTTTACTAGACAGGATTAACATCGAAGCGATATTCTAGTACCTAGGAGTTATTCATTTAATTATTGTTTATAAAAGTGATTATTTGTAAATACAGTGCAATTTTAATGATTAACCGACTACTTTTATTGATTGAATGCTCGGGTTGTAACAATTTTATAGATAAATTACACCCAGACGGAGAATAAATGATGTTTATCACACAATTACTTGTCCTGGGTGGGGATCGAAACCACGAGTACAGTGAAATTAGTCTCGAGAAATTTTTGCATATGTAGTGGTGTGTATATTACTCAGATCTTAGAGCGCGTTTCCACTATATCGTTCTGGCCTATACAAAAATGTTTCGATATCCTAACATTACTATTTAATTTTATACTTATCCCTAGCAACACTCTGATTTTTGTTTTCAATAAAAACAAGTTTTTATTTTAAAGAAAAAGGTTTTGACTTATTAAAAATAAAGTGTGTGTGCGATTCACACACGATAGAAGTGAAACTTTAAAGAGGAGAGACCGATATTTAAATTTTTTTTTTCCTTTCATCTAGGTTTTTAAAACTCCGGGGGGTCTACGGGGGGGGGGGGGGGGGTCAAATTTTTGTTATTTTTGGCCTAGGACGCACCGTTTCCGAGATATTTCAATCTAAAGCAAAAAATCGTCACTTGATAGTGGAAAGTGGAAACACGCACAAAACCAGAATAAACCAGTTTACGCTACAAACACTACTACACTATTACAAACGCAAAAAAAAATCCAAGCTAATTTACCTGTACTGGCTTAAAGGTCAGGGTCACTAAGTCCCGTCTATATACTATTAAAATCAATATTAGATCAATATATTTGTATTTATATAATTATTAATATAGGAATTAAGGGGTTTAGTTAGATTGTGATCGCGACAACCTAGTTAAGACGTCAGACAATGTAATCAAAAAACGTTGTACCTATTTGTAGTGTTAATTTTGACATTAACTTAATTTGGTTTAGATTTTAATGAGATTTCCCTAAAAGATATCGACCGAGTAACGAATATTCAAGCCGAGCGTAGTATTTCGAAGACCCCTCTCCCTTTCTTCACGTAGCATGAGTACGTTTCCTTATGATATTTTCCACTTTTACAAATTAATCGAATTAAATAAAAATGAATAGTAGAGGCCCTAAGTGAAGCCCAGGGCTTCGGATTTATTAAGCACCGCCCCCGTTTTTCGGAAGAGTAGCTACGTTTCTGGAGGAAGAGGATTCGTCAGAGCGAAAAGCGGTGCGGCGGTACGTACCTCATGGCGTACTGGTGGAACTGCCAGCACTGGTGCTGCGTGGCGGCGGCGGCGCGGTCCCGGGGCAGGCGCGCGAGGGCCGCCTGCAGCCAGTCGTGGCCGGCCGCGCGCTGCCACTGCAGCAGCTCCAGCAGCACCTCGCCCACCTCGGCCAGCATGTACGCGTGCAGGTGCAGCACGCTGGCCGCCACCAGCGCGTGCGTCAGCTCGGAGCCGTGCGCGGACAGCAGGCCGTCCGTCAGCGCTGAGGGACACCACCGTTATTGAGACTATTCTATATAAAGCGACCGGACTAGACTTTCCTATCGTTAAATGTACTTTTTAAATCAATATTATGTAACGTTTTGCACCGCATACTCTACTGAACTACATGCATACTTCTTTATTTTTTTTTCTGTGTGGAAATCCCCCCGGATACCGCCCAGCGGTGATTATGTCGGACTCGAACCGACCAAAAACCGCACGCCGTCTCGGGTACCAGTCGCCGGGGAACCGGGTGTACCCTAGGAAGGAAAACCCTGATACCCCGACGTACCTCAGGCCGTCTACGGCGTTTAAATCGCCTCCTGTGTGGGGGACCACCATTGTCCCCTTTGTGCACTCGACTACATACACACTGCATATTTTTTTTACAATATAAAATTAGAATCTATAACAAACATTTAACCCATAATTTTGTTTTTGCTTTATAACTACATTTTGATCCGTGTGGTGACAAATTAAAAATGCAGAGTGTCATCACCCTTATTCATCCCGTGGGTGTCGTAAGAGCCGACTAAGGGAGCAAACTACGCAGAAAAACAGCACTGCAGTGAGAAGGAAAACTTGACACAAACCCTTTTTTTTTTTTTAACGTGTGGAAATCCCCTCGGACCGTCACCCCTCCGGGGTTTGCGGCGGGGTGGTGTGTCGGACTCGGACCGACTAAAACCACACGGTGTGCCACTCTGCGCCTGTAACAGGAGGGATCCGGGAACAGCTGTTGTTAAGACATCCGGACCCCTCCTAGCGCCAGCCCGCTCCTGGTGCGGGCTCCGTCTCAATGTTTTCCTCTCTTTATAGGCGACGTCCGGCACACGCGGACGCCGCCCCCTCGCGGCTGGCCAAACTAATGCGGGTGGAGGGGAAACCCACCCCGTCCACCCGCGGCCACACTCAGGGCGGCATGAGGCTGTGATAGGCGGGCCTCCGCCGCCCGGTTCGCCGGCGGCGGATCGGGTCCGAGTGGAGGTCGTCCTCCCGGGCCCTCTCCGCCGCCTCCTTCCGCGAGATTACTACCTCGCAGAAGGTTGCGACCGCGGTAAAACAACTGTCGCTACCGGCCATGGAGCGTACTACGGCCGGTAGCGAGAGATCCACTCCGATGACTGCAGTGAGGGCCCGGCGCTGCGCCGCCCATGCGGGGCAGACCGCCAGCGTGTGCTGGGCCGAGTCCTCACTGCAGTCGCAGTGGTGGCAGGCGGGACTCAGTTCCCTCCTAGCGACCGTGTGCAGGTACTTTCCGAAGCAACCGTGCCCGGAAAGCACCTGCGTCAGCCGGAAGGAAAGGGTCCCGTGCTGCCGCCCTGCCCACTCGGCGATGACCGGCTGGAGAGCCTCCACGGCGGCGAAGCCAGCGCGTGGAGTCTCCAGCCGGAACGACCAACGAGCCATCGTGGCTCGGCGAGCGGCTTCGCGCCACTCGCGCACATCCTCGGGCGGAGGGCGAAATCCGCTCTCCGCCCGGGAGTCAGCCACTCGCCGATAAACTTCGGCGAGCACTTCCGCCTCCAAATCCCACGGGGGAGTTCCGGCCAACGCGCATGCCACCTCCGTCGAAACGGTGCGGTAACCGCGTATGGCTCTGACCGCCATTACCCTCTGAGGGCGCCAGAGGCGTACCCTATTCTGGGCGGTCAGAGCCGCCGCCCACACCGGTGCACCGTACAGTGCCATTGACCGGACAACCCCCGTGTACAGCCGTCTTGTCGCGACGCTGGGTCCACCCATATTGGGCAAAAGTCGCCCTAGGGCAGACGCAGCGCCGACCAGCTTTGGAGCAAGCTGTCGGAAGTGCTCGTCGAAGAGCCACCTCCCGTCGAGGATCAGGCCCAGATATTTCATCTGGGCCCGAACCGGTACGAGGACCGAGTTGACCACGATTGAGGCGCCAGGGGGTGGACCACGACGGGGCCCATGGAATAACAGGGCCTCCGTCTTATCTAGGGCCACCCGTAAGCCCAGCGCCTCAATGCTCCCGACCACCAGGGAGACTCCCCCTGTGGCCAGGCGCGCCGCCTCTTGGAAGTTTGCCCCCCGGGCTGTCACGAGGGTATCGTCTGCGTAACAGATTACACCCAGCCCGGGGGGGAAATCGGCGCGAAGGGCCCAGTCGTACCCTATGTTCCACAAGAGGGGTCCAAGAACAGACCCCTGTGGAACACCGCACGACATGGGCCGACACCTCAGATTACCTTCTCGGTCCTCGTACACGACGGTACGCTCCTCTAAATAGTCTGCCACCAGCCGCCTCAGGTACTTTGGCACCCCATGATAGTGGAGTGCTTCCCTGATGCAGCTGAATGGCAGACTATTGAATGCGTTGGCGATGTCCAGTGACACCGCCAACAGCACGCCGCCACAGCTCACGGCCTCTTCGGTCACGGCCCTCAGGCGCAACACGGCGTCGACCGTCGAACGCCCCGCCCGAAAACCAAATTGGGCGTCCGACAGATCGGGGCCCACCTCGCAGAGGTGCCGGACGATGCGGGCAGAAAGAACCCTCTCAAACAATTTGCCCGCCTCGTCCAGCAGCACGATGGGCCTATAGGCCGCGACCGAATCGGCAGGCCGTCCCGGCTTCCTCAATACCCTATACCAACCCGTCTGGCCAGCGTGGTATAGTAGGCCAAAACCTCCTTTCTAAGGAGAAGCTTATGTCCAGCAGTGTACTATTAAAGGCTGCTGATGATAACTACATCTCAATCAGCACTTAAAACATTGCTAACGAACCAGATAAGTGTACACTTACCTTTTATCTGTTGTTTGTCTGCCGTCCTGGGTTTGTTCCCCATTTTGATGAAGTCATACAGAAACTTCATAACTGAAGAGTTAGCGTCCCGGTGGTCGAGGCTGCAGGCTAACGTAGCGCATTGCAGGACCGTTGGTAAGACGCCCGAGGATAAGAATTCCAGAGGGATGCGCTGGAGAAATCTGCTCTAACAGAAAAACATTAATTGCATTACATAAGTTTTCCTTGCCAGGGAAAAAACATCAAGCCCAAGTTTAGATTTGGGTTTATGGATAAGTAGTAGTTTGTATTAAAAAAAAAAGCCGTGTGGTTTCGTGGGACACCCGATAGGAACGAAGTTGTGACGATCGAGTAAAACTGATTCGACACGATTTTAATTACAACGCCATCTATGAAAGCGGCTATTATCTACATATTTTTCAGTTGGTTTCTAATTAAAACAATTTATACATTGGTAAAATCTCCTTGAGAAATGATTTCCTATCTATTCGATAAATGGCGCTGAATGACTGACAAGTGACAATTCAAAATAAATACTGAGATGAAAAGTAATGATTTCCTATCTATTCGATAGATGGTGCTGAATGACTGACATAAAAAGTGTCGTTACAACTTTTCGTGAGAATTTTTTCCGTCTAGCCCCCTTTCACAACGCGCGATAAGGAATTTCGTTCCAAAAAAAAACAATTCCTGCACTCATAACGAATCCTATGTTGCAGAGGATTTAAGAAATATTTAGACAATGTACTAAGTTGCACAATATATTACGGATAATTCAAATGTTTATTCTTTGTGAAAAATTGAACTGTTAACACTCGGTTTAGTTTGGTGGGTAAGGTAGGCTACTTTAATTATTGAGCCCTGTGATACCCTTTTTTTTTATATAATTTTAGATATTACAAAAGTGTGATGAGGTCGATCCAAAGCTTCAAGCAAATTATAAGATTGTCAGTAGTCGTTGAAGTGTTTAAAATACGAATTATTAACATATAAGTGATGTGAGTTGGTTGAGGAGTGATTTATTATGTAATTAAATACATTTTGTTGGATCTCTTTGTTCCATGTGATTATTTGTTTATTGTTATTAGTCGTTTAATTTTTAAAGTTTACTCCTTAAAAATTGATTTTCAGATGCGGCGCCCGGTATGAAGAAAATATGAAGAGTAAAATTTTGTGATCGAATGACCTTCTTATGTTTTTTGTGCGCATCTATCACAGGTGTGAGTATAACTCGTACACTCGAGTGAAGCCGTTCGAATCGAGTAAACTCAAGTCGCGGGTCGGCCCTGACACATACAGTATATAAGTAAGAAGGTCGAGGGGTGTACCGACCGGATGCAGAGACGGAAGAGGTCGTCGACGGTGTCGGGGTTGTCGGTGAGGCCGGCGTCGCGCTGCAGCAGCGCCAGCGCGCGCGGCAGCACGTCGCGCAGCAGCGCCACGAGGTGCGGCACGGCGGCGGGCGTGGCGTGCAGCTCGTCCAGCAGCACGCCGGCCAGGTACAGCGCGCTGGAGTGCGCGCGCGCGCCGTAGTGCGCCCGCAGCACGCCGCACAGCGCCGGCGCCAGCGCCGCGCAGCGCCGCCCCGAGCAGCGCACGCCGAACCGCACGCAGCGGCACCAGCGCTCCGTCACGCGACCGTCCGCGCCGTACTTCTCCAGCACCTGCTGCAGCACGGGCCACGCGTCCGCCAGCGCCGGCAGGCACGGGTGGTCGTCCTGCGCCACGGTGATGCTCACGTCCACGTCGCGGAACAGCGCGGCGATGCGGTCCAGCCACACGCACGGGTCGCTCGCCGTGCCCTTGCGCACCTCGCCGCCGGACTTCACGAGTTCCGCGAGGCTCGCCACCTGCAGCGAGACCGCTTCGCGCATCGCCACCGCCAGCTACCGACACGCATCGTGTTCTCTTACTTTACTCTTTACGACTTTCAATTTTTTGTTTTTTTTATAAACATAAGAAGAAGAGTTATATGTTTACCTGTGGATGCGGCAGACAACCGATGGCGGAGGCGAGACCGCGCATGAGCGCGGAGGCGGCGAGCGGGCTCAGCGACAGCTCGTCGGTGGCGGCCGCCGCACGCATCAACGTGCTCACGTGATTCGAGGCCTGCGGCCGACACGCCTTGCAAATGCTCTGGACACGATACAAATATAAATAGTTTCAATTACGCGTGGTTCTTTTACAAATTAAAAAAAGGAAGAAGTGTACATAAACGACTGGATTAACATATTTTATGTAGTAATAACAGTTGTGATAAAACGACAGCCGGTCGGCCGATAGCAATGATAAATTTTAAATGTGTTGATAATTACAAAATAACCATATGATTTATATATTCTGGTTAGCAAGACATTTGTACATTTAAAAACACTTATTACGCTTCTTGCTTGCAAATATTTTAATTATAAACAAACTTACATCTAGCAAGAAAGTTTCGTATCTTTAATAACTAATGCTTTTGACACAATTTATCTTGAGTAATGTTCCCAAATACCAAAAGTTACTGAAATAAAAGTATTTCCTATCCTTAAGAATACTTTAGCGTCGTCCATTTTTTCCATAACATCAAAAATTAATCACATAGAGAATATTCAAACTGAGAACCGCCTTGTGGGGTACCACAAGGTAGTATTCTAGGGCCTACCCCCCGATCCGAGATGCATAAACTACTAATGCTTTTTAGAATAATGTTCTTACTTAATGATCGCATCTTTACTTTTACCAAGGGTTGTAATGTTATAACCTACACAGACCTTAGGAAAAAAAAATATAGTATGATAAATTCCTATACTGACCTGTAAAGCAGTAGCTGCAGCATATGCCAACTGTTTATCCTGCAGCGCTCTGACGAGGAACTGCAAGCAGGGTTCCAAACACTCCCCGTGACGTTCGATCCACTCGCACAGCTCTCCAAGTAACAAGATACAAGTCTTGCGAACAGCGAGATGAGTTCCCTCAGGCATGGACAGGATGGCTTCTACGACCATGGGAACGTAAGTGTATTCCTCACTGTGGACAAAATGGGAGCATAAGTAGGTGCAATTGAAATTAATTTCAGAGTACTGGTCACAAAAGTGTGAAATTTAACATCCTCATTCCTGCCCTCCTTTTTCCAAACTAGGTGGGGGTCGTCTGTCAGCCTACTATGACACAGCTGAACTTCGCTTTTTTACGTGGAGCGACTGCCGTCAGATCTCCAGAACCCAAGTACTTGGCGAAATCGAAGTTCTGTAGGTAGACTGTTGTCAGACTTTTTAGGGCTCCAATTACCCGTAACTATTGCCACAGATGTTAGTATGACAACCGGGCCAGAAGGCTTAACGTGCTTTCCGAAGCAAGAGAAGATTTAACGAAGCAGATATTCCTAATAGGGTCTCGATCGATAGTTAGAACCTGCAAAACTTGAATTAACTTCAAAGCAAACCTTGTACGGCAATATTCATGAGGTAATCCATAATGAGGAAATGAAGTTAGTGGGGTAGAAGGTTAGGAGTAATGAGGAGATTTTTTTTTGCCATATACCGTTACATATATTACCTACACAAACAATATACCTTTCCTAGGTTTGCTAACAAAATAGATGTCCATGAAAATTGCAACCTGGGTAGGGAGTCACAGGGGATATGACTACTCAAAATCGTACACATCAAATTGGAAAATAAAAAGAATAAAAGCTTTGCTACTGTGTATTAACTACGCGATTAGTGACCTCATTCAAAACGTTACAACCCCTCCGTCAGGCATATTTGTAAGTCTGTATAAAGGTACGAACGCAATGAGCAAATACACATACAAACCTTCAATTCTATATAGCAGACACTTACGGTAATATATTCTTGCCTACAGACTGCATGATGAACAGTGCAGCTTCAGTCTGCTCCCAGGAGATGTCGGCCTGCAGCGTTGCGAACATCTGCCGGAACACGGAACTGCTCCCCACGATGAATACCACGTCTTTAATGAGACCCATCACTTTGCTACGAAATTCCTGAAGGAGAAGATGGATTCGCCATCATGTCTGCACAAAATTTTCATGTGTGACTTATTGCTATAAAGTTTACAATTCAAGTTTTTTTTCTATACATATAAAACTACTTGCCCTGATTTACAAACGCAGAGCATAAACGTCTGGGGATACAAACTTGAAAATTTTGGAATCTACTGCTTTTCATTTTGTAAGCACTAAGAAAGGAATTTTGGTAATTTCACATGTAAGTGGGTAGTCAAGAAATAAAAAATAATCACGCGAGCGAACCACGGGCAATAGCTAGTAATCTATATAACTTGGACCTTTGAAATCCAAATTCCAATGATTCAAAAGAGCTAATTACAGTTCCTTGAAGGAGACCTTCGTTCAGCAGTGTACGGCGGTAGAGTGATGATGACGATGAAAGGTCCAAGACTACATTCACTGATACTCTCTTTCTCTTTCATAATCTCATGTCACGTCAATTAGAACTCAAACAGAGAACGCGCACGCTGCGCACACTCAACCGCATAGCCGACGATGTGGATATATTTTATTGTGCTGATTGAATTCACAATTATAGCACTTAGTAAAATTTGTTACTTTAGTTTTTAATTAAAAAATCAACTCCATAGCTTCAAGCTGCTACTTAGAATTTTTTACCCCATTAAACTTTTTTCTGGACCTGAGAATCGAACCCAAGGCAGCTACAAATACCTATTTTTTCATAAATTTAATCTGTTATTACAGGCATGTTTTATGCATTTTATGAAAAGGTTTATGACCTGATGAGGTAGGATTTACTTTTTTATCGGAAAAAGATATTTTTTGCTTGGTGACAAGTTCGATATAGTATTAAAAAAAGACTAGACCCGTCTCAACAATTTATCAAAATTATACGAATTATATGATTGATTGATTGATATAGCCAAACTCGAAATGTATCTGACGCAAAGCATGATTTCCGTATTAATTAATGATTATTATTAACGAATGAAAACAAATATTTTACGTTGTCTTAATTCGCAACAATATTTTGTAATTAACATAAAAAAACATCTTGGTATTAACCCCATCGATCACACGCTTCCTCCATCACGATCTCAAGCGACCTTCTCCCAAGCCACAGGGTCGATCCCAAATGAGATCATGTCCAATCTTTAAATTCCTTTTTTTCGTAAGCTAAAGCGTCAAAGACACGTCGAGGTAGTCCATACGGTGCACATGCCCCAACCAAAGCAAGCGACTCTGCTTTAACAAAGCTGTGAGGCTGGGCAGCTTTACGATTTCTAGGATCTTCTCGTTGGTGATCCTGTCCTTCCACGAGATCTCCAAGATGTTTCGGAGAAATGAAATCATTCATTCAATATGTTGTGTTCAGTTGATAAGATGTCACTAGGAGACGTAGAGCGTCTCCAATAATCTTTAGAGAGTCTCCAATAATAGCATGTACATACGTGTACGCATTCCCAGCCTCTTCAAGCAACCGCATCCCCAGTATGGAATGCAGGCGTGCCATAAAAAAAATACCTAACTCCAAACGTAATTCGTTTGTAAAAAAATTTTGTCCCATGCAAAAAAAATGCCCAAGGCCAGGGCCAAAAGAAACTAGCCAAAACCTTTTGGAATGTCATAAATTGCGTCGACTGAAATAAAAATTAAGTAAAGGTCAAGAAAATTATGTGAATACGTTCTGGTCTGTTTGCACCAGTTAGAAAACCACAATGACCATGAAATAACATGATATACACTTACATAGAACTCTTCTCCTTCTTCTGGCAGCTGTGTATGGTCTGGCTCACATTGGCAATGCCTCGCTAGTGCTTCAATAAGCCTCTCTACATGAGGCTTGAAGGATTCCGTCAGGGGCTGATAGTCTCTCTGGTAAACTTCTTCTGATAGGCGATACCATAAATTGAAGGTTATTTCTGCTACCTGGAGGCAATAAAAGTAATCTTTAGGTTTAAGCAGCTGACAATCGCCAGACGCCCAATGTCAGTCATGATTCGTGATCAAATCCATTACAAAATTGTATCCTGTTGGTTTCTTCTACACATTCTTACATTCCTTCTAGAATATTCACTTTAATGATACATATTTTGTTAAGGATTTTATGAGATTGATTCCATTCGAATACTTCATTCAAATACCATGGTAATTTCCATGACATAGTAGTGGTCGCCCAGTGGTCGAAATTCTACCATAATTCATTTAATTTTCAAGTTTGAACTTATTAGGGTTCTTTTGTTAACGACAATACCTCTATAATCAACGGTTTCATTATATATTATATTTATTATAAAATTAACCTACAGTTTGACCATAGATTTTAACCATGAACTAAAAAGTATGTGTATGTATGTTGTGTGTCATTCAAGCAGTAGTGTGTGTAATGTTTACTTCAATTAATTTAATGTATTTCTAATGCATTTTATATAAAAAAAATTGCTTTACGCACTGCTTCTCCATATAAACTTTAACTGTGTATTTCACGTTTATCCGTTCATGTGATTTTCTTATAGAGGGGTACAAATTTTTGCTTCTGGTTTAATATGACCTATAACTTTCCTCAATTGATAGTCAATAAATAAATTATTATTCTAATGTGACTAATAATTTCAGAGATAACGGTTATCTTTTGAATAAACAAACAAAAATGTCATTTTTGCTATATTAGTTTTAGATAAGCTAATTTATATGAATGTTACACAGACCAAGTTTCTGTGACTGCACCTAATTCTCTTTGGTATTTGTTTAAAAAATTGGTATGCTTTTGGAGCAAAAAATAAATACGACTGTAGAATGAGTAAGACCAATCGTATTAAAATGTGGTATTCAAATGAAATAGATGGATAAATTATTTATTTACATCTATCTATATGCAATGTAAATAAATAAGCATTTTAAGTACCTGTACAACTCTTCATCTTGTGTGGACTAATGTGAAATGTATGATTGTCAAGTATCTGTCTATGAATAGCAAACTCGATGATCGGTAGTGATCACAAATTACGAGACATTGGAGGTCAGACGATTACTGTTAAAAATGTTGTGGGGCCCATAAAAAAACTAGTTACTCAACATGGCAAGGTAGAGTCTCTGGAATCTTGGGGTGAAGGGCGAAACTGAGGCTCAGCACAGGCTGCTCACCTCAGGAAGTTAATGCTCTGAAGCCGTGGGTTTAGGCAGCGTAGGTATGAAATAACGATTCAGTTGGCCTGAGATCGGCTTAGATGAGATGCTGTCAGGGTTGATTCTAGGATGATTGTTGTGGTAAATACTGCCCTTGGCATCAGAAGTTGGGTATGCTAAGATGAGAACGATTGGCGGCCAATCTTGGATTTAGACGGAAACCTGTTAAGAAATGGATACGATTTATTCATTTCTCAGCAGGATGATAGCGAAGTTTAATAATAAGAATAGCAGATGAACATATTTATAACACTCTTGGATGTCTAATATTTGCCAAAACATATTTTGATACTGACAAGTATTGCCGAATGTTATTCAGTTAGATGTTCATTCATTTTGGTTCAGTTGAATGTGAATATGATAATGTCTGCCTTTATTAGGATATTTTGTACAGACATTGCCAGGGACATATTAATGGACATTCCTTTCATACAGAAAAAACGATCCTAAAATCAAATAATTACTTGAATGTGAGCAAAATGAGGTAATGTAGTTGGTTTCTCTATAAATAAGTACATTAATGACGTCTAACATCAGTTGTAGTTCTAAATAACTTTGGTCTTTGTCACAAGTATCAAGATATGTTCTGACAAATACAATCTAAATGCAAAGTTCAAAATTAGTTTATATGTCGTTGTTATTGTAATTACAATTAAGTTATTGAGTAATAAATGATTATTGGCTAATTAGCTAATTTCATTTAGAATTGACCAGAAAACGGTTTTTAAGTATGCTACTGAACTACATACCTCATAATCATGATGTCCAACACACACCAAAGCCAGTTCCAAAGACCTTAAAGCAAAATGTGGAGTTCCACCTGATATGGACACAACAATTTTCTCTAAGAACGTCTCCCCTAGCTCTGTGAAAACTCTCGCATAATTAGTAGCCTTTTCATCTTCCTCGTGAGCTACGGCCATGTGATAGCTCTCCTCCAGAGCAGACACACTATCAAACAATAGTCTTTCAATGTTTTCATTGTTGTTATTTTCCTCTAAACAGTGCAACAATGCACAAATACAATCGGACGCTGCCTCGTGCAGGGTGTTTATTGAATTTTGATCACGTAAAACTTGTAGACTAAACCCTATAACGGCATTCTGCGGAATCTCCTCTATGTTTACAGCTCTCACTTGTATCCAAGATGTCATACACTTAATAATTTTAAGAGCTACATGCGTATTCTGAGAATTAGTTATACTTTCCTTTAGGAATAACGTCACTATTTCAGTATTTGACCTCAATTCATTCTTAATTTCATCTCGTCTATTCTCGCCGAGTTTTAAACTAGACGAATCTATTTCTTGAGGTAACACAGTCAGTATTTCTATTAATGCAAAATCATTTTTGTTTGAAAATGATTTTATTAGGTCACTAATACAGTTTTTCCAAGAAGGCATTTGTAGTGCTAGGTCAGCAAGGGCGAGCGAAAGCTGTGTGAGAACTGAAGCGCTGTTTTCTGGAGATGTTCGTTCTAGGTGAGTTACTAAAGTATCTCTGAGAGATACATGTGCTTCAGCGGGTAGTTCAGACAAGTTGTGCTGTACTTTCGATCTCATTGTTTGGGCGGCGAAATAACATGAATTCAAATCTTTTTTCTGCTGCAGGAGTTCGTCGGCTATCTTCCACGAATGAATCTAAAAAACAATACGTGGTATTTATTGGTTGTAATTTTTTATATAACTGTAATTTAATCCACATTAGATTTATCCACACAATTTTTAAAACTAATATGGAAAATACTTACAGATTTCTGTACTTCGCCAAGCCATCGTGAGGCTTTTTCTTTTTCGTTGGCATTAGGGTTATCATACAAGGCGCTTATGGCCTCGTATATAGTGTCCATTGTTGGGGTATCCATAATGGTAATCAGATAATACACTAGCTAATATCAACGCCACACAGCCGTAACACTTATATCATACACTATCATATCTAAAAACGTGGAAAATGACCTACAAAACTCAAATAATTAACAAATAACTTATGTCGAACGAATGCTTGACTGAAAGCGAACCAAACCATAAACAATTAATGTTGCTATATCTGCATTGAGCGTGCACCCGAAATATTGTCGTACTTTTCTTTTTTTTAATTAAATCAAATATTTCAAGAAATTAAGAAGAATTTTATTCAATATACAAATACTTTTCATAATTTTTTCTATCTCTATCTAAAACGTATCAATATAATCGTTTTGGTTTAATTACTGCGACTTCAATTATTTTCGATTTAACAGAGATAAATGTATTGTAATGGTATCCCCGGTGAACGTCATGAATATTCAAATTGCCACGAATTCGTTCAAATACAAAAAAAAACTTTTGTTTCTGAAAAAAAAACTTTTGTTTCTGAAAAAAAAACTAATAATATTTTTAATATTAAAATATAAATATTATAAAATAACTTTATTTGCCATTCTATTTCGTAATTCTTTAAATGTGCATCTATTTTCGTTACAAGAAAGCAAGTCCTGAGGTTATTTTTGTTTATTGTGTACCTATCGAACGAATCTGTCAAGTAAATTACTATAGACAGAGGCCACATGATTTTATCATCTGTTGACTTGACGGTGACCGGTGGATCGATAAATATAAAAAATACATAGGTAACCCGGTGCAAATGTTTCTCATTCGACCGTCATTTATTCGCGGTATTACTGCGTTAACTCACCAAGCGTCTGGTCGCGCGCTGCATAAATCACACATAGTCATGGCACCTATAAAGGTAATTAGTAAATACATGTTTGTTTTACAAATTACATAATAACTGTAGTAATATTATTCGTATGTTTCTCGATAGGTCGGTGACAATCTGCCAGTAGCGGATCTGTTCGAAGATTCGCCGGCAAATAAAGTTAACATTTGTGATTTAACTGCCGGTAAGAAAGTGGTTTTGTTTGCGGTGCCTGGGGCATTCACTCCTGGCTGTTCCAAGACCCATTTACCGGGCTATGTCTCGAATGCCGCTAAGCTGAAGTCCGAGGGTGTTGATGAAGTTGTGTGTGTAGCAGTCAATGATCCTTATGTGATGGCTGCATGGGGAGCTCAACACGACACTAAGGGAAAGGTGAGTAATTATTTTTATTATTAGTAGTGCCATTTTGGTCCAGGTTTAGTTCTACAGCATTTGTGATTAATTAACTTTATATCTATGGAAGCTTCTAGTTATATTTTAAATATTATCCTACAATCAGAGTTCCAATAGGTTTCTAACTTGACTAGACTTGACAAAGATTTATGGAAATGTGCAGTTGATAAATTATGGACGAGGCTTTGTATCTATAAAATGTTACATTTATTTTTATACAAAAAATAAAATCATATTGTATGTTGTCTAGTAATGTAGCTTTATTAGCTATTTTGAATACATTTAATTCAGAAAATACATATGGTATTGAACAGCTTTAAATAAAATTATATTTAAATATTCAAAACTACTCCAAATTGGTATTTTATGTCAAAATATTAAATGTTTCTAGAATACAATGGTACTTTTAGCTTGAATTAATTACTTATTGCTAAATATAGATTATGTTAATAAAATGCAAAGGTCGAATGCTTAGAATGAACATATTATTGAGGAGAATAAATATTTATTTGAAGAAAAACATAGACGGTATTGAAAAATAAATACAATAAAGGGAGTTTAAATTAGCAGTTTGTATAAAGTTACAGTACTAATTTTATAAAATGTATTAAAATTAACAAATTTTCTTTTATAACTAAAGAATCCATACATAATACTAGCTGACCCTGCAAACCTTGTTTTGCTATTAACATTATTAAATTTTTTTTTTTTTTTGAGTTTCTTAAAATCTGTCCTTAGCTGACCTCTACTCGGTGAAAAGAATATTCCTACCAAATTTCAAGTCGGTTACAGAGATATTGTGATGAGTGACTATATACGTGGAAATCTCTTATATATATATAGTTAAAAAAGAAAAAATCGGTTCAACGCATCATTTCTTATCTAATCAATGTTTACAAAATTAGTAAGATAGTATGCACAAGCTTCTGTTTGTTATTACATACTATCCTCACCCTTGAGCACCCCATCATCAATATTATTTAACAGCCATTCTATACTGTATAAGCCCAAAAACGATTCAAGTGGTGTGCAAGGGGTGATGACGGTTTGGCCCAGTACTTGGCGACGCGAATGGCCTTGATGCCTTGCTTGATACAGGTCGTCAAGCATGGGTACTTGGTACCCCTCCATTTATGGGACTCGTCGCATGTGATGTGTAACGTCTGACATCTAACAACCAAACCTAGAATGGCGTGCGCTCATTAGCATCATCCACAGATTGCAAAAAAAAACAAGAAAAAAACATGTATTACACAAAAAACCTAGCCATTGCCAAATCGTGAGTTTTAATATTTAGTTTTATCTTATGTCAAACTAGCTGACCCGCGCAACTTCGTCTGCGTCTCTCAATAGTAATAAATTTTCTCCGTTTTTGAAACATTCTTCATTGGTGCTCCGCTCCTTTTGCTCTTAGCGTGATGATATATAGCCTATAGCCTTCCTTGATAAATGGGCTATCTAACACTGAAAGAATTTTTCAAATCGGACCAGCAGTTGCTGAGATTAGCGCGTTCAAACAAACAAACAAACTCTTCAGCTTTATAATATTAGTATAGATGTCAACTGCTTTACAAAGGCTGCCCGCTTTCAATGGCTTCCCGCAGATTTGGTTTTATCATAATCATCAGCCTATCGCAGTCCACTGCTGGACATAGGCCTCTCCCATTGTATTTGGTTTAGCGATTACAAAATAACCTTGAGAAAACACAATTCTTTTTTTAAGATCTTATGTCATCTTTATTCGTATGAAAATACAACAAAACAATTTTTTTAACGATAGGAAACTACCCAATGATTATGATGAGATAAAATTCAGTACTTATAGGGCTTACAAGTCTCCTTAACCACTTATTAATGAGTAGTGATGCATAAAAACACTCATGGACGTTCATTACTCACGTACCTACCTATTGTAAATCAAATTTAATTTGCCCCAAACATTTATAAACTGCGTTCTTTGCCTTTCGGTTCTAAAAACCTTTTAAATAAGAAAGCAGTTTTTATGATAACTAAATTGTTCTTGAGAAAGCCGATATGTACGATACCAGTGACGTGGACTTGTGAGTTCAGAATCAATACACTCCACTTCCGTCGACCTCCGGCTATAGTTAACTTAATTATTCATAGCTTAAGGCCTATTTTCGTAGTAAAATAGTTAAGTAATACTAGCAGATTAGCGATTCCATTTTCGGTTCATCAATCATCATCATCATCAACAGCCTTTAATAGTCCACTGCTGGACATAGGCCTCTCCTTAGAAAGGAGGTTTTGGCCTACTATACCACGCTGGCCAGACGGGTTGCTATAGGGTTTGTGTCAAGTTTTCCTTCTTTTTGCAGTGCTGGTGTCCTGCGTTGTTCTGCGCCCTTAGTCGGCTCTTACGACACCCACGGGATGAATAGGGGTGGTGACATTCCGTATTCTTAATCCGTCACCACACGGACATTTTCGGTTACAATACGATTATAATCACATTACAGTGAACGTTGGATGTTTAATACTTTACTACGAAAATACCTTTTATGACAGTTGTGAGACCGAAAGGAACTGAATTGAGACCGAACTTTAATTACGAGAATTGACCTTCAGACTGTATCTCATGAACCGTGATAGTTAGACAGTTGAAATTTTCACAGATGATGGTATATCTGTTGCCGCTATAACAAGAAATACTAAAAACAGAATTAAGGGGGGCTCCCATATAATAAACGTGCTTTTTTTTCATATTTTTCTCGGTCTCAATAATGATAACAGGTAGAAACTTGAGGGACCGGGAGAGGTTTAGGACTCTCCCGGCGCGCCAGGCCCGGGAACGGACCAGGTACCGCAGGCGACTCAGGCGCCGGAGGTCGCAGAACGACCTCCGTCCTCCATAAGCGCAGGCCTGGGGGTGACAGGTAGGCCATCTGTCACCCTAGCAGAAGCAGGCCGGGGTGGCGGCGAGCGCGTTACGAAGCGCGCTCGCTTCCAGGGAGCACAGGGAACATGGGGTTCCCACACGGGGGGGGGGGGGGTCGTCTACTCGTCTGTAGATGACCCGAGGTATGTCGGGGCACCAGGGACTTCCTTTCTAGGGTATACCTGGTTCCCCGGCTATTAGTACCCGAGACGGCGTGCGGTTTTAGTCGGTTCGAGTCCGACATGCCACCGACAGGTGGTATCCGAGGGGATTTCCGCACGGAAAAAAAAAAAAATGTAGAAACTTGAAATATTTACTCAATAAAAGATTCGACAGCACTGGGACTGCTATTCATAAATAGTAGGTACAACTGTTACTCTTGACACCGCTATCTGTATACAGTCGACAGTCAAGCGAAAGTTGTTGTATGTTTTTTTTAGCAGAAACGTGGTCCAGTTCATTTCCTTAGAAATTTGAAATTTGGATCTCAAAGACGGCCCAAATCTAAATACAATAGAATGGGTATGATTGCATTCAAAAATATACATGTCCCGGTAATCAACGCAATAGTTTTTAAACATCGTGTGGGAGGGCAAAGTAAACCCATTTCTTTTGATTTAATAGGAGTTCGGATTATTTATTTATAGATCCCCTCGATTTAACTGGAACGATTTTTTAGATGCAATGAATGATGTTAAATTTGATGGCAGAACGGTCCCGTTGTCTCCGACTATAGTGTACGGGGGTTTTAATGTAGATGTATTGAAATCTAATGAGGATGCACCTTTAAAAAAATATTTTGACCATAGATAGATAGATAAATACTTTATTTGTACACCAGGGTTTTACAGACATTATAAAGTAATTAACAACAGATGTAATGTACAAATATTTTGACCATATTTGTTTAAAGTCAAAATTTCCTCGTATTGTTACCACAACGGGTTATACTCAAATAGATATGTTTTTAGCAATATTACCTTGAATGCTGGCACATACTGTGTATTATTTAGTTACCAGTTTGTTACGCTGCTATATCCCAACCAGCGTGTCCACTACACCGCGGCCGAGTTTTAACGACTTACATACTGAACGTGGCTAGTGTTGTGACCAAATAATCTAAAATGTTTTTTTTTTGTTTTTGTTATTCTTCATATGCCTTTATAGATACAATTTCGAATTGAGCAATAGATTTTATCAAAACTATCCGAAAAGTGACAATAAAATTTTACAGATGATGTATTTCTGTTGTCGCTGTAACAACAAATACTAAAACAGAATAACATAATAATTAAGTTGGAGCCATACAACAGACATGATTTTTTGCCGTTTTATAGATAATGGTACGGAACCCTTCGTGCGCGAGTCCGACTCGCACTTGGCCGTTTTTTGTAATTCTTCATAACCTTGTTGCATGTACCTATTTTTTTTTTGATAAACTTGAATTCGATATGTATGACTGATTTCACCGAAAAGAAAAATGTAGGAATTAGTTCTAGATTTTCCTTTTAACCACTAAGAACAAAAAGCCGTTGAGGGCTTCGAACGGTTTGTATCAAAAACTTTGAAGCTTGAACAACTAAAACAGTTCCGAATACCGAATATGATTGACAATAAAAATATAATCTCCAGCAATTGGAGAGCCATACTTCGGTACAAATGGGCACCCTGCACTACTGGAGTGATAACACGTCACGGCCTCACAGAAAATCGGTGTTAATCAATTCCTTTGTTGTTTTTCACCGATTGCGAGGTTACTGTAGGTCAAAACGACCCCCCCTCGTCCAATCAGGTGATCCGTTTACTCGTCTGTTCACTATAATTGAATAAATAAATACGAAACATTATTAGCTACAAGGTAATGTCTCTCAAGTTTATGAACTCCCGTTTTTTTGTTGTTTCATTTCAAGGTATTAGTTACCACTGTAACGGTATTACTAAAGACTCATTTTGCTTTTGCAAGCACTCTGTTTCTCCATCACGAAATATTAATTTGCCATCTCGGAGTTTGGAATCGTACCCAAAATGGCAAAAAGTTTGCTAGCTATGACAGGATTTGGGTGCCGTTTGTTGAACACGA